ACAAGTTAATGATCGTCAAGCGACCTGGCAATGGCGAGAAAAGTGGACGTTTGCTAGCTGGCTTGGACGACGTTGACAAACTTGCGAAGACCGGCGGTTTGCCACTGCGCATGAAGAAAAGTGGCTTAAGTTGCAAGGGTGTCATTGATTTACCCGACATCGTTGCCGCTGACGTTGGTGGTGCTGGTGAGTTATCATATATTGATTGCCACCTTCAGTTTTAGTCATTCTTTCAGACTTTCATATATATATCGAGAATCCACCTCAAGACCAAAGTGATCGTTGGTCCGGTCGCTCGTTCCGTTGCCTTTCCGTTGTCTTCCCTCCTGCGCCAGCAAACCTCGATCCTACTCGGACTACCAACGAGAAGGACCGGTTCCTCGAGAATTTATGGAATGCTCAGGCGAAATACAGGACTAAATCAGGACAATCGGTTGTCTTGTGCGCTGATGAGCGTGAAGTAGAGTCGAGAGGAGGAAGGGTTACTATGGCTCGCACTTACTTCAATGTATACCAACGAACAGCCTTTTTGCAAGAGCCCAAAAAGGTGTGTTTCACTTTTGTGCGCTGATCATTCTATTTACATTGCCGACGCGTGCAGACCAAGATCGTCATGCATATAGACACGTTGGGGACCGCAGACCCCATTCCATTTGGAATCAACGGACCGCCATATGTGGTGGTCAGAATACAACCTATGGCGGGGGAGATTTCACGATATACAGTTACCTCCAGCGATCCGTCTGATGAATCGGAGGAAGACATCGTTCAGACCGCAAGGATACCAGGTCGTATCGTCCAAACAAGTCCGTGCCCAAGCCTTGCTTTTCTTTTGTGATGATTGAGAATTGTATAGTCCATCAATACGGCCTGTTCAAGTTCAAAACTAGCAATGACTCCCGTCCTGCCACCCCAACCGCGAGCTCAAGGTCTCGGGCACATATATTTAGCCTGGACGCGATCTCAAGAAATCTATTCAACGCCATACCAGGTTCTTCTAAGGGCGATTTCTTCGGTGGTTCCATAAGTAGTCATCGCCGGTCGAAGTCATCTACCAGCCGCTCGTCTGTCTACACCCAAACAACAACAACGACAGGCGACGGAAGTTTGACCAAGTTCTCTCGTCGATCCAATTCGACGGCTACTGCTCCAACTTCTCTGGCAGACGATGACTCTCTCTATGCCAGCAAATCTTCGAGTTCGCGCAAAAAATTGGTCAAAAGAAGTCGTTCACCGGGCACTAGTCGTTCCTCTCCATTGTCCCGGCAGACGTCTCCGTCACGAAACAGTTCCAGAACATCATTCTACAGCGATGGAGAGGAAGAGTTACCGGTACGCCAGGATCCATCTGACCAAGATTTATCACTGCGTCTAGAACTCGCACGACGCAACAGCCAGAATCAGCACGGAAAGCAGGCCGCGAAGTCTTCGTCGGATAGACCACCGGGAGAAACCATCTATGAAGGTAGGGCAAAGTGTAGTATTCAATTTCGCTGGCCTCATCGATACACTGTAGATGATCCACCTCGACCTTTACGTCCCACGTCCCGAGCCTCTACAGCAGCAAGTCAGCGATCAACAACTCCCCGGCCTACGTCAACATCTCCAGGCAGAGGGACACGGCGACCTCATTCTCGATTTGGTCCTCGTAGCATCTCCCCATTGCCACCGAAGAGTCCGACAAGTACTCCACCTGATCTTCCATCCATGGACGATGAGCTTGCCTTGGAAGCCCGCATTGCCTTGGACGCCCACATAGACTCTTTCCAAGACGATTCATCTTTCATTGAGGATGATGCTCCGTCTCCATTACCACGCAGTAGACGTCAGCCATTCGTTGTGACTGGTAACATGGATTCCACGCCGAGACAGCCCAATTCAACCACAGGCAGCGTGGAGCCACTCTCAATCAAAAAGAAACCATCAACCAGGTCTAGTACATATACTCCAAGCCGTAAATCATACACGAGAATCTCCCCGCTGTCCAAAAGCACGGCGAGGATCGTGTCTCCGCGCAAAGTTTCACCTCAAATTCGAATCGCACGTGTAGGCCACGCATCTCATTCTCCCCAAGTTGACCATGCAGACGAACTGTTGCGAATCTCCCTATCTACCAAAGATGATGTACGTAAACAATTCCGTCAACTTGTCAATGACTTCATTGACAACATACAGATTGAGTCATCACATCGTGTCATTAAACGGATGAAATTGGACCTACAAGAAATTCGAGCTAATGATGAAATGGCGAGTCTCGACGAATCACGGAGGTGCTCTTCTCCTGAAAAGTCACTTGCTCGTACCCCGCAGCGGACCATTCCCCAGCCCATTGTGCGTGAATTTATTGTTATTCACAAATTCAACGTTGCGACTGATATTTGTGAACTTAGACCAAGGAAGCACAGCAACGACTAGACGAGATGAGACAATTAATCAGCAAACGCCAGCAGGAGGGTACCCCTCGCAATCGACCACGAAGTTTTGTGACGGAACTATCTACGCCTGGACCACCTGCAATTCTGGGTACATCGAATATCAGCCTATTGAGCGAGCCCGTTGCTGATGCTGACAAGCTCTTGGCTTCTGCCTTGTCAAGCCATGAGACATTGCACCAGAGCCTTACGCAAGTGGTGTCTGATTTCAAGGAGGTACGAAAAGACGACATTTCTTGAAGTCATGACTCACTTTTTCCACATAGAAACTATCTGACTTGGAAAAAGCTCGAGTGGAACTTCAGAACACGAAACGTCAATGCGAACTTGTAAAGAGTCTTCTTGCAGATGCTACAGCAGAGAAGGAGATCATGTACGAGGTCGGTATCACGCATTATAATCAATTGCTAGGAGCTCATCGATATCCCAGGCGTTCAACGAAGAGCTGGACGCTATGTATAACGATGCACACCTCCCGGATGACGAAGCGTGGACCAACATGACTGCTGATCTTCGTGAGTCGAAGGAATCGCAGAATGCACTGAGAAAGGAGAACTCGCAAGTGTCATATTCCTCGTTTCAGTGATCCTCCATTGAATTTTGTTTCCAACAGGCAACTGAAAAGGAAGCTAGCTGAGGTCGAATCTGAAAAGGAAGAGTGCGTATTTATTTCACTTCGGAACACTCGACATAAACCAATTGCTTCAATTTCAGATGGGGTGCATTGCTGCGGGCACATGGGCTTATTCCTTAGCTCTGGGACTATCTTATTTATCTTTTGCCATTTGCTTGTATATTGTTATCATCTCTGCACGCTCACATGTAATTCTGATCATCTCATATCCAGCAAACGTACAATCTGAAAATGTGTGCCAATCCGATGAATTTGACGAATCGTCACTCATTGCATGAACCACCAGGATGTCACAGTTGTCTGTTAGAGAGACGTTAGCTCAAAAATATTAACGCGATCCAAAATCATTCTAGTAGTCGAAGCCGCATTCTTGCTGTCAACAGTTCAAAACCAACCAACGCATGACAGGCTTATAATTTCTACTATTGCAACTCCTAACAAGTCCCTGTCGATTAGTGGTTAAATCGCCACGTTGTGGAACTCACAATACCGTGGCGCCGCAGGTTCAATTCCTGCCAGGGACATATTTTTCCAAAAAAAATTGAATCGACGTTAACCCTGACTCCAGTCAAGAGAACATTAACATTAACCAACCACTGCAAAATGATTTTGTGTTGCCTGTTAAAACATATCGACCATGACGGGACGACGAGGACTTTCATCGCTCAACCTGACGTTCCTCGGTACCGCTTCTGCGCAACCATCTTTAACCCGAAATCACTCTGCACTTGCTCTCCGATTGAATAGCGATGTCTGGTTGTTCGACTGTGGCGAGGCCACGCAGCACCAAGTCCAAAGGTCCAAAGTGAAGATGGGTAAGATTGAAAAGATCTTTATCACACATACCCATGGTCCGTGGTTCAACATTGCTTTTCCAATCGACTAACTTCCACTGACTAATAGGGGATCATATCTTTGGTTTACTGCCTCTCTTGGCAAGCATGCTGAACGGTGCTGGAGGAACAGCTGATGGAGTAGAGGATCCCCGTATACACATGGCCCAGAACTCATCGAATGTCTGTACATTTACTGTATTAATTCTGTTGTTACTGATTGCTTTCATCAGCCCATCGAAATTTACGGGCCCTTTGGAACCAGGGCATATGTCCGCAATGGCCTCAAGTATACACATACCCTCCTGGGCGCGCCTTATGTCGTTCACGAATTGCGGTTACCTTCTGACCCACCAGATGGAGACCATATCTCTCTTGCCCTTCATGCGTCCGAATCTCCAAACGGCCGTAACATTCCGCAAACAAACGGCGTTTGGTCAAACGTGTATCACGACACCGTTGTTTCAGTTTCTGCGGCTCCCATCCTACACTCCGTACCGTGCATTGGTTACGTTATAACAGAGGCACCTGTACCCGGAAAAATGGACCCTGCGAAGTACATATCACATCTCAAGCGTACCAATACGCCGATGTCCGTTATGAGCCGTCTTCAACAGGGAGAGAGTATGGAACTCTCGGATGGCACAATGTTACAAGGCCCTCTCAGGAGGCCCGGACGCAAGCTCGTCATTCTTGGAGATACATATGACCCATCGCCAATAGCGGAATTGGCTTCATCTACGGACTTGCTGATACACGAAGCAACAAATGCCCATTTGCCAGCCTTGGACCCACATACCAAAGCTGAAGACACATTTGAAAGCATTGAGGCACGCACAAAATCCAGAGGGCACTCTACTCCCCAGATGGCTGGTGCTTTTGCGGCACGAATCGGAGCGAGGCAATTGGTGCTTAACCATTTCTCGGCCAGATATCCAGGGAACGACGATGTCGAGCCAACGGCGAAGACGATCATGGAGGGCATTGCACGTTTGGCTGAAGAGCATTATAGCGGAAAAATTACATGTGCGAGGGATTTTATGAGTTTTGACGTGGATGTACTACTACAAGAACACGCATGAAATAAGTAGCAATGCGCATTCAATCATCCGGTGGGTCAGACAACGCGCTGCTGGCATCGCTTGCTTCTCCTTCCTCCAATTCTTCTCGGGCTTTTTTCGCCTTCACTTTTGGATCCTCTGCAACCTCTCCCATCTCTATATCGTCATCTTCTTCTGGAGGTCGTAGTGACGAGGGTGTATGCGAACTGGGTGCGAATTCATTGGCAGCGGGATTGAGTTTCAATGAGAGTGGTGTGCCAATGGACTGGTCATCCTCCCCGTCTTCCTTCTCTTCAGCCACCTCGCCCGTTTCCTTCTCATCTTCATCCAATCCTCCATCCACTATTTGTGAGCTATCACGCATGTTAGGCAGATTGTCATCGGCTTCTGTGCCGTCTGGAGCTGGCGTAGCAGCCGGTGTCCCTAAACTTGATGTGGCAGATTCTTTGTCTTTGCCCATAAGGCGAAGAGAGCTCAAGTCCATGATGATACTGTCTAAAGCAGTTTTCTGGCCCCTTATGATTCGGTCCTGAGTTTCGTGTTCCGCATTAATAGCAGCCATGTCATTTTCAAGCGACCGTATTGCCCTAAACCCTAATGAGAAAGATACGAGAGTAGTTTGACATGACCCACTGCTCAAGTTCCTCGCGACTTGGAAGAGTGTTGATCTTCTCGGCAATTGTGTCGTACTCGACCTTTCGTTTGCGTTCCGTGTGTGCATATTCCAGTGCGACTTTCAGCTCCTCAATTTGACTACGTAGAGCATCATGTTCCTTCTCTGCGCATTCATTCCTCAGGCGTCCACTTCTATGCAAAGCTTAATGCACTCACCAATCTTCTCCCGCTCCCGTTGATATTCCTCCACTTGCCTCCGCTCAGCTTCGCATACCATCATACTCTTTTTAAGAGCTAGTTCAAAGGACGATAGCTCGATTAAGCACGCTTCCCGTGCATCCTCGACTGTTCCAGAAGAACTAGGTGACACGAGGGGATGATGTACTAAGGAGGCATAGTTGTGAAACTTCTTGACCACCCGCCGAAGCGGTCGTTCGTCGTTCGTGATACGCGTGTATATGATGGCATCTGTTAAAAGCGCGTTGCTTGTTCATTAACATAGAGATCCAGCTTTGAGTATGATTAATCCATGCCTTCTTCTTCAGCAGTTAATGGTGGAATTGGTTGTGATAACTCTGGCACAGGATGTGAATTTGATTCTGGGACTGCCATGAACGTTGAACCGTAATACTCTAACACACGAGAGTCGGGGAGTGAGATCTGAGACTTATATTCGAAGGGATGTGGATTGAAAGCAGATGAAATTCCGTCATGTTACATAGGGCCAAATTGTAACTATATTTAGGACAAAGTTGAACATTGTGTGATGCGGACAAGCCGGACAAGATATCTTGCAATGTGACAATCGTATTGTATTAGAAAATCCAAAAAAATGCAGTAGATCATGCAAATGGAGAGCATCGACTGGGCATAAATAAATCAACCCCATTCATCTGGCACGAACGGGGTGACTAGATCATAAATTTCTTCGTTACCCCCTCGTCCTCTTGGAGTTTTTCCGCGGTTGATCACGCGTTTAAACATCCCACCCAGACTTCGAGAGGTGTCAGAGAAGTCCGTACTGATCGGCCTCCCGTCGTCTCTCGGATAGCAAGTGTCGATATTAAGAGCGAGCCTCCGAAGGCCACTGGAGCCATCGTGAGCAGCTTTCCTGGAAACCTGGACAGCTGATTGCAAATACATCGCGAGGTTGGGAAAGTTGATGGGAAGCGTAGGATATGGAGTGGAATTCGTCGCGGGAACCACATAGTATTTTGCCATCGGTGAATCCGCCCCATCACGGAGGAGCTGCGGGAGTGGTGAAAGGGTATAGGAGTAGGGAAGTACGGTTACATCGCCATTGGTATACTTATGCGAGTTTGTGACGGATGGAGGGTACCGGCATGTCAGTCGTCAAATAGATGACTGTTCGCCATTCCGAAGCAGAGTGATGAATCTGTAGTGCCGGTCAGCTTTGGTACTCCGCTAGATAGCCGTCCTTACCTTTACAAACTGGATCACCGTTCTCAACTTGAGCTCATCTTTTGCAACAGTAAGAGCTTCTATGGTTGGCTCGACGCGAGTCCCACTCAATCGCGCCATCAGCTTCAACAGGTGACGCCAGGAGGGCGACTGGATGTGAAATGTTGGTGCCTTCCCGTATGGTAGTGTTATAATATTGGGCATGGCCTCTCCCATAGGCGACAATATCGTGGAGATTGATGGTGGTTTAAAGCCCATTGCTGCAAATTTTCAATGAGGCAAGGGGAGCAAACGACAACACATTACTTACAGACACCCATCAGCATGTCTGGTTCAACATATTGGTTGGCCGTCAGTATTGGTGCGGGTCGAGAAGCAGAATCTGTCCCCTCGTCGCCTTCCTCCTCCTCCTGAATGTCTTCGTCAACTGAATCCAATATATCTGTGTGAGATGGCAGGCTGAAGGAAATAGGTGGGCTCGTTGATCCAGTTTGGACCGACGTTGCAGGGGTGAAGAGCGAGGGAATTTGTTCACTCGATGAAGAGCGACGGCTCAAAGAACTAGTCTCGGAGTTTGCGACAGACGGCCTGCGTGGAAGTGGCTGTTTGGGTGGAGGAGGTTCCGCCACGCTCAGATTCTGCTGTGACGATGACATCGGATGTGAAGATACAGGATTTAGACCCGGCAAGGGACGAATATGATCACTCGAGTTTGATCGACAGAACTCGGCGGGTGGAGAAGATATGGTAGATGTTCCAGCGGTGCCACCGCCAGCATTCATAGATAAATCGTTCGGTTTCAGAATGGTCGAGACAGCATTGTTATACGTTAATGGTGTTGGAGTTAGGTTTTCTCGACTTGAGATGGAGGCATCAGTTACGAATTGAACTGATTCTCGACTTTCTTTGCCCGACTGATGGATAGATATTTCTTCGTCATAGGAACTCTCGGACGTGGTAGGTGTAATTATGTGCAAAAAGCTTTTGCCTTCTGGAAATCGGTTATATTTCTGGGGGCTGAGAAGGACGTTTTCCATAGAAGAAGGCGTGAAAGGCTGAGAAGATGACGAGGGTCCACCCGAAGAATCCTGATGTCCGTCGAATACGCTATCAGACACATACCTGCTGTAATTGTCGGCGAAAATACGCGATTCTTCCAACGCCTTCATCAAATCTGCTTCCTCTTGAGCGAGAATGTCATCCTCCCGCTGACGCGCCTCTGACTCAGATAGCGCTAGCGCTAGTGCGATATCTTTGTCATCGGTGGGAGATTCTTCGCCGGGCATCGGTCGGCTAGATGGCCCTGCAACAGGACCAGGAATGGACTGCGGATAGAGCGGATTGCGCTGTGAGGAAGCAGTAGTTACCATTGGTGGTTTCGGAGGAATAGGTGGTCGTGGAATGGTGTGGACAAGAGGTGCCGTAATTCCCTTTGGTTTCTGGGGTACGGGAGGTGAGGTTGAGGAGGGATGCTGCCTAGGATAGAAGTAATTGCCATAGTATGACGTGTGTGGTGGAGATGCAAGAAATGAGGTAGACGAATTGTACAGAAGTGCAGTTTGTTGTTGTTGAAAACCAGCATCACCGGAGAGAGGCCGTAAGCCAGGGGTCAAACTCGCAGGAATATTATGTCTCGGAGGAATACTAGAATTGGGCGAGGGAGGTTGGGGTTGAAATGGCAGACCTGACATTGTTGTATGGCGGGTTCGAGGCGGAGGTACTCGTCCATTGCTAGTAGGTGTCAGACTGAGGGATGCGGAGTGATGAGGAATCCACGGCGCTGCACCATCATGATACTCGTTAACGCCGCCATATTAAATAAATCAGAACTTTGCTCACATTGTTGATTATAATGCATCTCAGACCCCTTCACTCGTAAAGGTTTAGCTATTTACAGGATTCAGCAGCAGCTGCGCTGATCCGAGTATCAGCCAGCCAATTTTCCTGTGGCAGCCTAAAAGGGCCTGGGATGTCGATATTTCTGTAGAATGACTGCCACGAAGAGTATCTGGAACCAACCTGGAATGATATGCTGCTGTAGAGCGAGGGATCTGAATGCACACGGAAGAAGGATGAGTCTTGTGTGAGAGAACACGCGGAAAAGTCATTGAGCGCGCTCGAACTCAATTCACGCTTAGAACTCGCATCTTTGGACATATTGGGCGCGGGTTCCCTGTAGACGCCCAAAGTCGTCAAGCTCTCAAAGCCCCGTCCAAGCTGTGCGTTACATGCTCCTAACAGCACTTGATCTGATCAATGTCGAGTACCTGAATAATGTACCTTTTGTTGGTCCGTACTCGTGGTTACAATGTGGTATGGTGGGCGACTCCTAAACAGATAATATTGGCAGCAAGATCAATCCGGAACAAAATCCAGATATACAAGCCGAGGCGGTACTTTAACAGTCTAGCGTACAAAATGCAAGGGGACAAGTGAATGGTGCAGACATGTATGCTGGGTAAGTGCTTGTGTAGAGTCAAAGACAAAGAATATGCATAGGTGGCACGAAGTAATTGGTAACGAAACGACACGGAAACCGATGCAATGTGAAACTCAAGCCTGAGAGTGTGAAAGGGTTATGATACACGAGATGCAGTGACTTTTGCGGAAAGGCCTTGTACAGCCGAAGTCTTGAATCCAAGCCTCCGCATGACGGCTAGAAGATCAGCCCTCTGCACGGGTTTAGTGAGTGAGGCGGTAAACAAGCTGCTGTCGTTCGTGTCTGCAGCGCTGTAGGCGCTAACAGCAACTATAGGAGTGTTGGAATTCCTGCCATTGGTTGTCTTGATGTATCGAGCAGCACCCTCACCATCAACTGCAAGTTGCAACAACGTCAGAAAACAGGCACACCAGACTGAGTGCATCACGTACCGACTGGCATGTGTAAATCCATGAGAATACAATCAAATTCTACAAGAAATCAGACCATAAAACTATGACGCGGGCGCCAAGAATACTTACTGATATCACCCATGGCAACGCTCATGGCCTCTGACCCATCCGCAACCACGACGACGCGCAGCCAAGACGGATGAGAAGTGTTTCGAGTATTTTGGCGGTTATTGGGTTATCCTCAGCGAGTAGACAAGTCACCGCGCGGTCGGTGGGATCGGGACCTTTCTTCAAGTCGATCGAGTAAACCGATGAAGGAGGCGTGTCGAACTGACTGGAACTTTGTCCCGCCGACGAGGGCCAATGATCAGAGCCAGAACCCTCACCAACACTACTAGAAACGGACGCCTTGCGCAAACGGCTTGGCATCGTGTTCCTCCGCTCCACGCCATCCAGATGGTTGAGCTTAAAACGCTCCAATGCTCCAAATTCAGACGGCTTGCGCGCATGACTGCTGCTACTGCTCCCAGGTGTCGACGGAGGTATACTTGCTCGTGAAGGAGATGAAGCTATGGATGAAGTGGACGTTGACGGTGAAGGAGGACCCTGAGTAAACGACTTCTGATCTAGAGCTGTCACTACACTGGGCGGCTTCTTGAACCTCTGCGAGGTGCTCTTCCTCCTGCTATGCGAGCCTACCGGATCGGACAAGGTATGCGTCATCGGGGCCAGTTGGTCGGTCTTCAATTTGCGAATAACATCGTCATTCGCTTGTTTTAGGACCGGTAAATTCTTGAAACTGAACGACCCAAAATCGTCACTAGCAGGCGACGGAGCTGGATCGCGACTGCCCAGCAGTGGTATAGGCTGTGCTGGGGGAGGCAGGGTAAGCGACGGGCTATCCATAGGATTCGAGATAGCGATATCTTCTTCATGGAATAACTGAGGTATAGCCCCACGCGGATCGAAGTAATCGGTTGATTCAGGATCAGAAACTTGAGGAATAAATGCTGCCTCTGCAGACGTCACTTTATCCCACTCTATGCCTTCAAAGAAGGGATGACCCTTAATTTCATCCGCGCCACCAGCCCCGAGACGAGCGGATGGGTCTATACACATCAGCCGTTGCATGAGGTCACGAGCCTCATCAGAGAATTCCACCCAGTCCTCGTGCCACTCGATGTGTCCAGAAAGGATATTCTCAAAAACCTTCTCTGGGGTCTCCGCATGGAAAGGAGGGATGCCGTATAAAAATTCGTAAGTTATGACACCAAGAGCCCACTATGCGGTAGATAGATCAGCAACGTACAAACACACAAGACAATAATAAGGCACCAACCCAGTCCACTGCAGCATCATCTCCACGAAGACCAAGAATGGTTTCTGGAGCAAGGTAATCTGGCGTACCAACAAACTTCTGCTCCCCCGGGGGCGTGTGACCACCCGAATATGAACGTAAATCGGTCGTCAGTTCCGTGGCAAATGATTGCAGAGGACTTTCACCAGCCCTGCTTCGGCGCGAATGATGATTATATATAGATTCGGAACCGGATTCGCTTGCGTCATCTGTGGAAAGCTGATAAGGCGAAATTCCCTGTCGTGGCACCGGGTGTGCTCCCTGGCTAAAATACGAACCTCCACCAATCATTTCGGTTGAAAGTAAGGGTGATGAAAGAAAGCCGGAGTCAATTGAAGGTGGTCGCGAACGCGAATCGTATCTTGTGCGATGTCGCATACCCATGCCCATGGGTTCACGCGTTTGACGACCAAGAAGACCAATCCTGCTCAAACCGAAATCAGTGAGCTTCAAGTGACCGTGCTGGTCGATGAGAAGGTTATCAGGCTTCAAGTCACTGCGAAAATGATGATAAGCATACGCTCTCTGCACATTTTGTAGAACTTACCGGTGAACAACGCCACGTTGGTGGAGATACTCAAGTCCCAGTACAACTTCAGCAATGTATTGTTTCGTCCACTCTTCGGGGAGCGAGCCCAAGGACTTGATGAGAGCGGCACAATCGCCACCATTCAAATACTCCATGACCAGATACAAGTTTTCCTTGCTCTGGAAAGTAAAGTACAATTTGGCGACGAACGGCGACTCGGCCTGCTTCATAAGAATCATGCGCTCCGCCTTGACATTCGTGATCTGGTTCTTCGCAATCATATCGGCCTTTTTCAGAACTTTGATAGCGTAATAGTCTCCAGTAGCCTTCTTCTTCGCGAGGAAGACGGATCCAAAGGCGCCTTTGCTGATGGGCTTGATGATATCAAAGTCTTTGATAGAAGTCGGAGTTGATCTTGATAAAGGAGCCGCAGACGATTGACGAGGAGATAGAGGGACGCTTAGCACAGAAGGACTAAGTATGGGATTCACAGTAGAATGACGGCGATGTCCGCGTCGTGTAGCAGTGGGGGCATCTCGAGGGGATATACTGGGTGACAGGGGCGGGGTAACCAAAAGCCGCGGTTCCAGAAGGTTGCTGGCCGATCGTCGCGTTCTAACAGTAGCATTCTCTGCTAGGGTGTCGTTGAGGTCCATGTATGGAGGCTGATCGTCGGGAGATGGTGATGCCGTGATTGGGGCGGCCAAAGCAAGAGGTGAGGATATAGATGATGGCGTGGACGACCTTGTGGGCATCTTGTTGATGATTTGCCAAAGCGGAGGAGTAAACTGAGGTACAGGAGCAGAAACGGAGGCGCGACTAGCACTTGTGGTGGCGATCAACATAGGAGACGCGGAAGCCATGGGAGTAGGCTCAGACGACAGAAGCTCTTCAGATTGGTTGGTGGCTCGATCGTCGTCGACCGGTGCCTCTACGTCTTCGGGAATAGGTAGAATCAATGGATCAATTCCATCATGGTATTCGCCCTCATCTTCACTGTCGCTACTCTCACCCGCCTCAACAATCGCTAGACTCTCGGTGACTTTCTCCTCCCATTCGTGCCAGATCTTCTCGGAGTACTTGATGGTATTCTGCATCCGAACGACATTGTCAACCTTCTGCCTCATGATACGCTCCACGTCTTCAGCAAGCTGAGAGAGAGCAGCATCCTCGACAGGCGGCCGACACCATGTGCGGATCTGGGACATCTTCCGCTCCGATCCTGGCGAAAGCAAACGCTGACGCTCGATTGGCTCCTTCGACTCCTCCTCCTTCAAAGAAGGCATGGAAATCTCAGAAGCAACCAGGAGAATCTCGTCAAGCGATTCCAACAACCTGCGTTGTGCCTTCTTCATGCTCAACCTCTGCATATAATCCCGCCTGAACAACTGCAAGGGACTAGGGATGCTCGGCGAACTCGAGTGCGTGAAAACGGGGACACCTCTGTATTCGGGGGGCGAAGTCGAGGAAGGGGTCTCCATGGCAGCCATAATGTCTCGAATCGTGTTCTTGAGCTCGCCAATAGACTCGTTGCACTCGACAATCTCAGCTTCAAGCCGGTGCACTTCGACGCAGGTCTCGCTGTGCTTCTCGAAGTACCACTGCGGGATTTGACACTCGCATATCCGACACAATATGGGCTCCGTAGAAATCGGCTGCGCGAAGGGAAAGGGCGTCAGTGGCTCAAGTCCTGAGCGGTCGGCAAGCAGTTCTTTCGAAGGTTCCTCAACAATGGGTTCACCTCCAGCTTCACCGGATTCCAGGACAATGGAGGGCGAAGGGTAATCCCATCGTGGGGAACCTACTGGCCTGGCAACCCACATCGTGTGAGACGGTTGAGCATCCTCACGGTCGATCATGAGCATGCCTTTGCCTTCCATTTGTTGATAAAGAACGCCAGATATTGAAGCATCATGGTCGCCCTCTGGCTCGACTTGAAGTCCAAAGCGCACCTCTACAGTATGCGAATCGTCCTGTTGTAGTTGATAAGTGGCATCCCGAAAAACGGAACAATCTGCAGGGGCGAGAAGACGTGAAATTCTAGTTCCAGCAAGTTCCGATGGCTCCGTCCTAATAATATGTCAGAAAAGCCGAAAACCGCCAGAAACAAGTTGCTTACCCGACAACAACTCTCCACGCATAATTGACCCAAATGAAGTGGTCGCCGTCCAAACTTAGCTCCATTACGATGTTTTGATTCTGTGCAGTCTCTGCTTGCAGACGTAATCTTTCGGTCGCCAGGATGCGTGCAGACTCATTATGTTCAACGGCTTTCCGTGCCGGTTGCTCTGGCGAAACAGATGAGAATGAAAGATCTTTTGGAGCATCATCTCTGGAACGCCGTCCCTGGCTCATCGGCCTTGACAGCCGAAGTCGACTTTCATCATCGGCCGTAAGACGTAGCTCCTCCTGACGACTGCGGGCAGTGGGCGTAGGCACGGGAGGATGCTCGTCGGGTGGCTTCAGGACGAACATCAGGGGCTCGTCTTGTTCATCCTCATTATCATCGAAATTCCAGAATTGCTTTTCGGCCTCCCACCATTCGACTACACGGCTGAGACTAGCAACGGCAAGGAGGACTTGCACATACCAGTTCCGCCCATGCCAGTCTGGATGCTCATCCCACGCCTTACCAATAGTCTGTACCCGTTGAACGAGTGACTCGCAAACTTTAGGCTGGGCTGTGAGTGAGGCTGTTGACATATCGGTGACATCTGTTGCTACGCCAATGAGGTCATAAAGCGCGGTCATGATGGGATCAATAGGGTCATCCACTAGTATGCGGGAAGAACGCCGATTGATGGAGGAAGGCGGAGGAATGGCCTCGGAAAAGCTACTGTGTGTTGTGACTGGCGGAAGTGGGGATCTAGACCGGGAGGTCGAGCGAGAACTCTGGCCGGATTTAACTGGACGGATGGGAATGTGAACACTGCGTGAAAGTCTGCGGGAAGATATACACTGAGCAGGCCATGCGGTGGGAGGCACCGCATTGGACTGCTTGCGAGAGTTGACAACGTCTGCCAGCGTGGCAGACGCAACAATAGGGCTAGGAACATGATTACTGGAAGCTGGTGTGGAGGCAGCTGGTTTCTCCCATTGCGCATTGCTTTGCCTTCGTAAGGAGGGACTGAGGGAAGAGTTTGATGCTACAAGGAGACCGGGTGATGAGACCCGATGAGTCAGAGAGGGAACCTTTGTACTGCCGTCCTCTGGTAACGCACGTTGTCGACTATGACCTCTTTCTTGTTCGGGCTCATAGCCACTATCAGAATAAGTATCAGCCTGTGAAGCAGGCCGAGGATCCGAAGAGTGGTACACGAAGGCCTCACGAAGAGGCTCTGCGTCACCGTACTGAGAGTCACGGTCGAAGTCCCTGTCCCGATCCCGATAGTCACGATCGATGTCGCGTTCTTGGTCACCATCGCGAAGTCTCTCTTCAAAGAAGGCGGTGATGTTGTTTATCACACGACGCAGTTCCTTGTCACAATCTGCCTTTGCAGTCTTGAGACGACGAGTGACATGTCGCCGAACGAAAGGCATGGAGACGGTATTTGAACCTGAACCATAGGAGGTGCTACTGTTTGACTGAGAAATAGGCTGTGGTAGCACTGACTCTGGAGCGAATACCAGGGGACTTGGGGGTTGACGACGATGAATGCTGGCAAAATCAGACATATATGCCTGTCAGACAATGCCAGACCAGGGTGCTAGAAATGAGATGGACCGCTAGGAGGTTGTAAGCGATAGTCAGACTTGGAGCTATTTAAACTGACTTGGAAGAGAGATGATGATGGTAATTAAAGGTCAAGTCAACATGAGGAAGACTTGCAGGAAATCTGGTTTTGAAGGTGTGAAAAGGAGGAATGGAGGTGAAGAGAGAGGAGCAGGATGATCGTTTGAAACCAAGCTCAGCCCTGCTACAAACAGTTTAGACGGATTCAAGTAACGGTCATTCACAGCCAATCCGTTACACAAGCACTACTAATACCAATCCCACTATCAATCACACTATTATAATTTCGCTTTTTAAACGGTACTACGCCCAATCCTCGAATCGCTCTCTAGCTACGGAGCTTGTTATTTAGTCCAATATTAATATTACATTATTTTTGGTGACTGGGGGTCTTACAAGAATCTATAGGCAATCTCCGACCCCGTGAGAATTATACCCACCTACTCGGAATTACATAATTGCCGCTCCTCCTCTCCAATTCTGCCACAACATCACACAGGTCCCATGTTATCGCCCTTTCGCGCCTTTTCCCGACAGTGTTCGCACTCCAGGGCCTGCTTTTCTCCTGTATCTAGATTCTTTCATTCGCCATTACAGAATGACCAGAAGAAGTTGTCAACTATCCTCGATGAGCTCTCTGAGCCAAGCGCGTCTGCAGGTCAGTTACAATTTCAAGACTACCTACCTGCACCTTCTTATATCAATTTTGTTTAGCAAGCAACCCGAATGCACCATGGATGCAGCAAGGCGTACGCAGAAGGTTCGACCATAAACTGGTCTGTCAACGAAAATATTCGTTTCATATTTTATAGCACTCATACGGATATCAGTTTATAAGACCTCATTACTTTTCGCATGATCACCGGTTCAAAGGTCCTCCGCCATTTTCGAAACGACCTCTCATTGGTCCTGGTAAAAAACAAGCGAAGCAACAGGACGTCTTTTACCGTTTGGGTGTCGATCCTCTACAAGAGGCTTCTAATGATGTCCTCATGAGCTCTTTTGTCACCGAAATGGGAAAAATAAAGCACCGCGCTGAAACTGGTCTGACCACAAAAAGCCAGCGCAGGTTAGGCAAAGCCATCCGTCGAGCGAAGATGATGGGCGTCATACCCGTACTCAGTAGTGCAAGGCTTCCTTGGAATTAACATCAATCATTACTCCACTCTTGCCTATTTATCCGCATCTACTCTTGCTGATCTACCAGTACCTTTTCGCTCACCTGTTGCCTTAATCAATTTATGCAACCGGCACTGAGCGACAAGTCAATTTCCTTCTCGGCTGTCTTGGCGGATGCGGCCCCACAGTCTTTTGTCTGCCGCTGGAAACAAAAGACACGTGGCTGATCTTTCGCTCGCCATTTTCGCTTGCGGTGGTAGGATGGCCCGTGCCTGACGGCGGAATTTATACTCGTGCCAGACTGGTGAGGAGTTCACACTGGAATTGTACCGCGTCTATGAGTCTATACTCTGCTTTGACAACGGCTAGTTGTGCTAGCGACGTCCAAGGCGTGCGGATTACTTGTCATTATGACACTGTCTTCGTGGTTTACTGTGACAAAATGACGGAAGGCCAGCCGTAGATACCCGCACTACGTGATCAGCTGCATGCCAGATCCTCCCTATATCGCAAGCGACCTGATGAGCTCAACTGCCTGCGATAGACGAAGTGCACTCAAAGTTGGTCTTCTTGTCCCTGAACGCCACCCGGTGTCGAGGGTCTCACTGTCAGAGTGCACTTGCCATTCAGAAATAGCTCTACAATCTGAAAGTCCAAAACCTTCTAGTGGAACTTAATTTCAAATCGCCGCGATGGGTAAGACATGATGAAGTGATACACAGCCATGTGACCATTTGAAAAGCTCCTTTCTGTGGAGCTGTTCTCGACTTTGGACTCTTGGCTTCCTTAAGCTTCTTCATCACGCAGAACTCCGCGAGTTAACTGCGAGCCTGATACGCTTCTGATTGACACCCATGGGAATGCAAAAGAAGTCCGACGAAAGAATCTATAGTTCGGCCAGCAACATCGTACCCAGGTTCTGCACCACCTGGTCCCCGATGGCTTTTTCCACCGCTTCTTCCAAATGTCGCTTTGGATCTTGTTTCCCCACATGCCGCGTCTTCAGCTTTTCCGCAGATAACGTTGATTCCTCTTGCACCGATTTGTTGTACGCCTCAGACAGCGTGAGCATAGACTTCAGGGACGAGGATTGTCAGTATTAGAAAGTCGACGAATATGGGTAGCTGACCTTAATAGCCTTCTCGTTGCTCTCCTTGTGTGAACAAAAGTCCCGCAACTTCAAACCCTCTGTCCAGTTTCTCTTGTGCAGGTTCATCAACATTGATTGTTCAAGCTCCGTCTTGCGGTAATTCACGGCGATTGAATAATAGTGTCTATTCAGTCCGTGCACGAGTGCCTGAATTGACGGCTTGTTGATGAGACCAATATTGGACGTCGTCTGTCGTGGTTCACGCCCGATAATAACGGTTTGAGGGTTAATTAATCTGAATGCGTCAATGACGACCTTCCCTTTGACGGACTGAATAGGATCGATGACAACAGCAACACAGCGGTTCTGCATGCGTTCAAATGACTGCAGGAGGAGATCAATCGCGAATGCATGTCAGACGTGAGGCGGCGTACTTCTTGTGTGTTGATATCAACACTCGAAAGCCAGCATCCAAACCCTGGATGCGAGTGGTACCACCCTACCACCATCTCCGGTCTGAAAGCGCATGTACATCAGCACACCGCTAAGTCAAGGTAGATGTTCCATTCACCGTCCTGTCTGTTTCAACATGTCGAGCATCTTCGTTTGGAAGACGTGATCGACCGACTCGACAGTCACGGTGGTACCAGACTGTGGCATGGCAAAGACATCCACAACTTGTACAGTATATTCATCGACAAACTCTCCGAGCATGAGGCCCATAACCTCCATAGGAACGCCAGCTCTCCCATGTTTCAACATCTGACGAATGATAAGCACACTTCTGGCGTTCATTGTAAACGCCTCACCTTTAATAGTGCCAGAGATGATATGTGAATGACTTCTCCGCTGCACCGATCATGAGACAATACATTAATCAATGCACAAGCAGAACTCACCTATCAGGTACTGCCGAATCTGACGAAGGACCCCGCATTCCACGAAGCTGACCACCCATCATTTCTGCGAGACCTTCCATGCCTTCCATGTTCAATTAAGTGAAAGAAATGACTTGGCTACTGCTTTCGCTGACGCGTCTCGCGAGTCTATTTGGTTGTGTTTGACGACAGCCTCAGAAATTAACAAATGTAAATACTACTATGGCTCAAAGATCGGTTCTGCCCGCGTCTAAAGGACCGACAGGTTGGCTAGGTCGAGGTCGAAAGTATTAACAGTCCCACGGCCTCATGCCCACCAGCGAATTATCGCAGGCTCTGAATCCTTTCTTTGCACAACCAAGGCCTAGGTCGTCAAACACTCAAAATCAGTCCGTTCAGCTCAGCCAAGCACATGAGTCACATCACAGCGAGCTTGAGCTTGCCATCTCGGAGCCCCAGAGGCCCCCTGCGGCATCAACGACGCCCCCTCAGTAGGTAATGTCAATTTTTATTAATCAAGCTGATGGTTATCTAGGAACTCTGCCGTTCGTCCTGGCAACGCATCATCCAGTGGAGCTCACCCATTCCAAATAGTGATGAACTACTTAAACTCAGCACGGGAGTCGCAAGAAATAGAGCAAAAACGAAGACTCGCATGGGAACAAGAACAGGAGGCCAAGTACACACTACGGCAGGCAGAAATGGAGCGTCGGATGCTCGAGATGCAACAAGAGCTCGGTGCGCTCAAAGCGAAGATCGCTTTTGGGACTCCGAAAGTTCCGGCAGCTTCACCCTCAGTGCAGACACCTTCCATAACGGATCAACAGTCCACGCCAATGACCTCGCCTGCGTTGTCCCATTCTTCTACAACCATAGGGCAACATGCATCGCCCGATCCTGGACAAGCTGCATCACCTTCTGTTTTCCGTCATACGTCAATTTCATCTGACGTAGAGCCGCCTGTTGGTTCTCCTTCTGTTGGCGACACCGCAAGCCCAGCCCATGCCTCCCCCCTTCTTTCTAGGCCAGCGCGCTTCATCAACGTTGATCCCTCATCCTCCCGGCAGGGCAGCTCATCTAATCCACGCAAAAGACCGATACTTAATACCACGAGTGATGAAGATGATAGCGAGGGCTCTGAGTATTCATTAGTAGAACGACCCATAAAACGAAAAAATCATCATGACACTCGCTGTCTTACCATCCAGGTAAGCCCAGCACCAAAATCCGCATTTCAATACTAATAACTAAATTAAGCATGCTATGCGCAGCCATCTTTTGCGCGTCATGCAAATCAAGGACGACAAAATCCTTCCCGATGCTCACACTGAAGGTATTGTGCTGGGTCCCAACGATCCTGTCCGTTTCGTCTGGGACAAGACACCTAAACAATCTGTCCACAATGGACGAATGAAAGAACGTGTGCTACACGACCTCAGAGCCCATCGCCACTTGTACAAACACGTTCCCGATAAGGATTTCAACAAAAAATCTCTGGAATCCGTTTTCGACCAGGCATTTGTTACGTTCAGACAGAAGTTCAGAGCTCAACGGGATACCTCTGTCGCATTAACCCAGAAACAGCGAGAAGATGTCAAGGCAATGCGATCCAGAAGATTAAGCCGTAAGAAGACGGTGAGGTTGTTCGTTCCGCCAGTCAGAAAAATCCGATAATTGACTAAATCCACTCTAGAAACTGAGCAATCGCTCAGACGCTCGAAATAAAATTGAAATCTTCGAGCATGTCATATTTGATGGCGCGCTACAAGTGGAATGTATGTCTTCCGAGGAATCCGAAACTGAAGAGGATTCGGTCGTCGGTTCCCGTATGACTTCGCTACGTGTTCGGGGATTCCCTTGGCGCAGCACCCGATTACTGCGCTTTTTCGACATACTGGACGATTATGACAAAGTGGATAGCTTACAAAAGCCGCGGAGAGGCATCGGAAGAAGAGAACGATTTCATGGTTTACCAAAAGAAGGTCTCATTCTCCCACCTAAAGGCGTAGCCACTTGGATGATCAGCAAACGCTGGATAAGTGTGATGCAGGCGTCTCACTTGGAGGTGTTGAGTAGTTTGAAGGATGTTGTTCTGGATCCCGTCTTTGATTGGAGCCAGTTTCATACCCTTGGCGAGGAGAGCGAAGACGAGGGGAGACTCGACATGGCACGACACCATGATATGATGATTGCGCATAATGGTTTACACTTTACTCATCCCGATGATGGCACGGCTATCAGTGCTATTTCTTCTCTGCATAATGCTCTAGTACATACCCAATAGGTTCAAATATGAAGGTGATAGCTATCCTGTGTCATGTACAGAGGCTAATATATGTCAAGCGGAACATTGAAATTTTAACCATGCATCCTCGATTCATTCAACTATCGAGGATGACTATGATAGATTATGATAGGGGCTTGTACTATTCCGGGGAGTTTCTCACAGTACACGTTTCAACTTGTGGCCGCAGGCGTCCTGCTCCAACTCCACCTTCAATGATGTACCTTCCTCAACTTATGTCTATCTAATTCATTGCCCGACTCCTCTTTCAATCATTAACCGGCTCCAGGACTTACTTTGATTCAGATGCACCTCTTCACCCCCAATCACGTGTCCTTAATTGCTGCATGCTATCCTTCTTCATCTGCATTAGCTTCTTCTGGTCCTGAATATCGCCCGAATGCGCAGGAGCTCTCCAAACTCACATACTATGCAGCCAATCGCCCAGGAAAGATAAACAAGCTCGGGGGTGAACTAGAGAAACGTGTCAAGGCAGGATGTTATAAGGCTCAGTATGGAAACGTTCGAGCTAGAGCGTACGTCCTAGGAAGCCTCAATGGTTTCTTGCAGATCTTTATAATTCTCAACCAGATCCTTACTTATCACACTTTCTGTCTTGCGCGCGCTGGCGGTAGAATGTCGACGCGATATATCCTTATTATCCCCGGCTTTGGTCGCGTGCCTCAAGGTCACGCTTGATTCCCTCTCTTCTGACCTCGAAGTAGTAGCGCGAGCAGCCAGCGTGGTTAGTGCTAGACCTATCCGTTTTATTCAGGCGGAACTTACTCAGATTACAGTTTACTGCGTGGTGCACTTTTACCGACGGTCATGTCATTGAAGCGGATTCTAACTTGGCCCGAGATTATCTCGCTGTCTTACGGCGATTTGCCCAGCTATCCACCGCCGACGTCAAGTCGGTTGATCATGAGTTAAGGAACAGGCGAGTCTTCTGTTTCTCCATTTCCGGCGAGTCATTTATTGGTTTGCTCAGGACTCGTCTAGTCGGATTGGCTGCTCTTACAGGCGCTGTGAATTCAGAGGCCCTTTATTGCTCTTCCAATCATTACAAGCCCCAAGTATCGATCATATCTCGCGCATTGCTTTTCCATGTCATGAATGCGGAGTTGTCTGTTCTCGATGAGTGGTAAGTCTTCGTTCTATATATGGGTAGAACATGCGTCTTATTGTGAGTCAAGTGCGGAGGCTATCAAAAGCAACGCTACTTCGATATATCTTGCAGAATTCCGTTCTCGTCCTGTCATTGAAAGGCGTGCTGTCTCCATTCATGCACACGTAGACGGAGGAGAACGGTCCATCTTCCTCCGATGTTCTAAATACATCGTTAAGGGCACTGCAACACATGATACAGCACTCTAATGGCGCTCAAATAGGGCTCTTGATGCAGGCTACATTTGAAGGCCTAGGCGATCTTAAAGTTTGGGAGAAACTCGACCAAAGTCGATGGCTGGCTCAAAAGGCGTGTGAATGGGCCCAGTACCAGTATCGCTATGCAGTACCTACTCGATTGGTCGAACAGCTCCTTTTGATCCAGGACTCATCGATATGCACAGCCCAACATAGAGCCTTAGCTACCATGGTCCCCGCGGTCTTCACGTCCCCCGTACCTCTCGTCAATTTGTCCACATCAGATATCATCTCAAACCTTATCACATTGGTCCTACGGCGTGTATCGATCGATCCTCAGGACGCCCTCCTACCGTCGCTCGTGGAATGCATATCCTCTTTGGGCGCTCACATCTACTATTCTGATCAGATTCAAGACCTTGCTAGCGAGCTTGTCAGTCGTCTTGTAACCGTTGAGATGCAAGGTGTTACTGGTCGCGACAAAGAACCTGGTGACCGCAGGCGAAGTCAGGCTATCAGGTGTCTCCTTGCAGGTCTTCTAGGTCTCATGCGTGCTGCTGATGGTTCACAAGTGGTGTCGGATGATAAAAATACCCTCCAAAATATTCCCTCATCTTCCTTTCCACAGAATAACGACCCTTCGCAAAGACCTCCCTCTCACCATTCCCGACGGACAAGGGTATCCGGAGAAGTATGGCACGAGACCTTGAGCCTTCTCTGCGATGGCGACTTCTCGGTACGGAGCGATTATGCCCATGCTCTTGTTGATTACTTGCGCAAAGAGATTCCAAAACGTGGAGACACGACAGATGAAAATGGAGTCAGACGTTCTCGCCCTCTCATTGAGGGTAGCCCGACGCACCAAGCAAACAGCATCGGCATCCTTCTATACGGCGACTCGGCGACGCGATCGCTCCATGCTACGCATGCTTATCTTTTCATACTCGCGACAACTTCGTCTCTTGGCATTTCATTCAACTCAACTCCTTCGCCCGCCCACTCCACAACCGGTGACATCCCTTCTATTGGAGTCACAGCCCCTTCTCAGAATGAGTCAGGCCCCGTCAATGGACCTAGCACCGACCCGCATGGCTCTTCTCCTGCCCGGAGATCACCAGGGCTTCTTGCCCGGACACGTAAAAGTTCGAATGCACAGCGCTTGTTGGAGAGCGTACCTGAGAAGGTCTCTGCAGCTGCTTCAGCGTCCCTGTCAGACTATGCGCTAATCTTGTATGTACTGTCTGCTATCCACGAGGAAGTTCCGACCCGCGGCCTTCTTGCTGGTCTCCCTATGCTCATGGCGCTCCATGGAACCACCGAAATTGAAGACGGGATGAATGAGGCTTCTAAGCAACGAGTGAAGGTGATACAAGAGTTGCTGGCTCGCGTTTGGCTTGTGCTCGGACGCGTCTGGGAATGCACGGAACTGGTGGACCTCGCTGAAAAGGTCAGTCAGTCTAAATTATATTCTTTCCTCTGCTCGGAGAGATTATTGATCAACGAAACCAGGCTTTGTCAACAATGGAGGCGGCACCAACCCTACCTTCTCTCCCAGAGTTCATTCCTGGGGTCCTACGACCAGCACAGACAGAAGTTAGGTTCCCCCCTATAGAGGCAGAAGGAGCAGTGGGGCCATGGTCAAACGTCAATGCCGAGGAGGCACTGGCGATATTAGTGTCTTCAAAGTCTGTTCAAGAAGCAACAGGACTTGACCGTCAAGGGCTCCTTCGCCGTTGTTCGGCAAAATGGTCGGTAGACATGGCTCTCAGAGACGGTAAGGCGAGCTGTTTATTGTGGATTACCTTACTTATCTGAAACCCTAGCAGCGGATAGACCGAGCAACCACAGGATGATGGAAGGTGGTTCACCGTTGTTGAAGCTATCACCTGCTCTTATGGCTATCGAGAACCTCTCGCTACAAAGTCTAACACGGTCGGTCCGTGGGGTAGGTGTGACTGATTTACGCGATGCGCTTGAAGGACGTGCAGGAGCATCCAACCCAGCTCTTGTCAGGCGACCTTCTGTATCTACCCTTGAATGCTCGCCTTCTGTGGATCTTCGCTCCAGCCCACTTGGGTTAACGCGAAGTCGGTCTAGACCCAAGAAGCGTGCTGTCACAAGTAGTGCGGGTGAAGTAAGGGACGTTTTGAATAGGTTGGGAATTGGCAAACAGAACGGAAGCAGCTTGTTGAAGGCTTCCTTCCAGTGAGTTGTCCAAACCATATTTCCATGTACGTGCCTTTAATCTGATCATGTGCTGCGCCAGATCACCTGCTTGATCTTCTATGCTATCAGTATGAGGCACCACCATTCCTTTCTCGTTAGTTTCCGGTTGCATTTTCTTCTGATTCGTCTGTCCATCATGATCTATCACATCATATTTCATCACATGTTACTATCCATCGGATCCCGCAAAAATGGACTTTCCACGGCAAACAATTAGGATCATTCGATGTTATCTCTTACCAATTCGTCTACTTTGAGCAATGGACACTATTCGGCGTCGAGCCTCTTCTTCTTTCTCTGCCCAGTAGGCTATCTCCTTCTGAGATTTGGGGTGCGTGCTCAAATGGGTCCCTTTCTGGACAAGAAAATGTCCTCAGAAAAGAACTTTGAATGGGCTGGGAAACAACCTACATTTAGTCCCTGCAAAAGAACCTCATACATTGCCGACTGTTTGGTAGCTTTAGCAACGTCGTCGTTGATGTTCTCCGTGTGGCGAGCGATCAATTTCGTGAGCTCCTGTCGAAGACGAAGGAGGCTGTGCAAGCACTGTGAGCGCGATTGGAGAGAATGGAAAACTGAGTGGTCACTTGGAAAAAATTATGGTCTCTTCTTCCTGATCAGTCAGAATGATGAAGGAATTAAACATCACAACGTATCTGTTGCAAATCTGCGTTATGTAAGGTTAGCCTGGCAGATGACCGCATCAGGGAAACCTACATTTGCAACAGACACATCCGTCGTTGACACAGCTCTGTTGAAGTAGCTAGTTGTTCCTCCTTCCGCAAGCTTCCTCAAAGAATCACAATGTTCCGACATAATTTTCTGGAACGCGGGCCACAGCTGCAACCGCATGGTAAACAAAAAGTTTTCCAGGGGCGAGCAGTCCCTCTTCTGCACTTCAGTAATTACAGCCTCCGCGAGTCGGATCATCGTGAGTAGTGGCACGGCCTGCGGCATGGGTTCAAGAATGGTGGTCACGAAAGTCTGGGTATTATTGGTTCCTCGGAAATACGAAGGGGTCATAAAATGCCATACCTTGCAATATTCTAGAACGGGATCTAGGATTTGTTTCCAAATGGCATCTAACGGCGCACGCTCAGCCTTGTCCATAAGGCCGGGTCGTGCTGTCACATCACGAGTTCCGTGCCCGTTACCGCCGAAGGGTCTTGAGACGTGCGTACCAGTTTCAGAACCAGCATTGGACCTCCTATCGTCAAAGCCAATATCAGGCGACAAAAGCGTGGCAGTGGGTGAAAATAGGGCGCTGTTAGTTTCCATCGCAAGAGGGGGCGCAATGGACTCAGAACGGAAGAAAACGGCGATGAACGCATATTCTGCGGTGGCATTATCCATCAACACCAGAAAAAGGGATCTGAGAATGGCTTCGATAGGTTCTTCCTACGTAGGTTGCCTCAAAATAGGTATGATATCAAAGTGCGACGGCATGGGACTCACGTGAGTCTTGTCATCTGCCATATAGGCGAGAATGACGCTGGGTCCATCTATCTTTGCGTATGCAAGACGATCTTGATCTAGGTATGGTCCACCATTGTCTCCGTTTCCTGAGATAATGGGCTCAGGTTTCTCGGGGGTCCTTGCCTGACGCTCCGGTTAGTGACTGCACCCAGACATAAATAACATAAACACCTTGATCCATCCTAGGCTGCGTACATAGCGACGAAACCCAGTCTCATAGTATGTACGGGCTGTACCAGTGTAAGCCTTTTGAAACTCGCCGGCAACGTTCGGCGCCTGCCGTTGGAGGAATGCATATAGTGCTCTGTACTTCACAAAGATGGAAGTCTGCATAACTTGCATGTTCGTCGTGACACTTGTTCGTATTGGCTGTAGCAATGCGAGAAAGAAAGCTCGTAATTTCGTAGCTGCCTTGATTAAGTATTGGACAAACATGAAACAAACGGACAGCAATAAATTCACGCACTACTATTCGAAGCCCCTCTGCAACGTCTCCAAGATCCCTGGCAGCTTTGACACGAGAACGAACTTTCAGAAGATCCAACCGTCGTTCAAAGTTAGTAATGGTCGCTATCCAAGGCTCCCCGACATCTGTGTCTAAGATAATAATTGCAAGTGACGGAGGTATAGCGAGATCTGACAGAAGACTTGAAAGCGGTTTCTCTATTCTCTGCAGTCACGGCATTAGATCACCATGCTGACCATTTCGGTTATGAACCTACGCGTCGACTCTTCAGCCTGTTGTCGATGTCTTTGCTCCTTTCCTGTAGCTCTGATATCTGACCGGATACAGAAGAAAGGTCCTTTTGAAATGTAGACAGAAATGATTCCAGAGAATCCAGAAGATTTACGCTCGTCTGAAGTGTGAACAACTTAGAGAGCGAGTGGCGTTCTAGTAGGCAACATGCGTACCTCGACTTGTTCATGTAGGTCGACAAAATCCTTCGCTTGACCATGGTCTGCATTCACTCATCAATCCGCTTCCAGCGGCCATCATAAGCCACAACTTGAAGTACTCACAGAACAGACTCTGTTGTCCAACCTCACACGCAGACTTGGTGTCTCGAGTCATGATATTTGCTTCACCTGAAGCAAATAAGTCATGGAACGGAGTGTCTGCAGGAACCTACCATTCATCCTGTGGAGAAAGCTGTTTCAAACTTAGAGCGATTAACTAGTACTTGACTCAACTTTTGAAGTAGTAGTACTAGAAGCGCTCATTGCACTGCCACAAGTAGTACACCTTCCCAGGCACATCGTTTGCTTATAAGTTAGTAGGGCCTGGCTGGCATAACGATCATCTTCCTTCAATTTGGTCTGCCTACAGGAGCGACACTGTATCAGTACGTGGACCCAACAACAACTAAGAGATGAATGAATCACTTTCGAAGTAGAATTCCTCTCTTGCTGAAAAACGCCGGTCGCACATTCTGAGCTTCTTTCCCTGGTGAGACATTCTCAGTCGTTGTGCATCCGTGAGCTGCTATTTCGCTTTACTCATCGATGTTGATGTCACCGTTGTCCTAGATTTGTTATGTACTGACTAACTTATATCGTCTTGCAGGTATATAAGGCACTTCACCAGAAGTACATATCATCGGAGCTTCAGTACATCATTAAACTCGGTGGTCAGCGACTGCCCCATGTGCTCAATACGAATCTTGTCAATCAGTGTCAATCACACTCCAAGCGCCTGCAACTCCTGAAGGAGTGCATGGTTTAAGTCTGTCATTACTTCTGTGGAAACATTATCTGTACCAGACCAATACTATGACGGAAGACTATCCCTCGCCAATGGGCATCTCTGCCTCTACGACAGAGATGAAGATTCAGCCAAGACCTTTCCGATACTACCAAAGTCCTCACATCAAACAATTGAGCGATATTTATCTCCGCAATCGCTGTGTTTAGTTCCAAACACAGACAGCATCGATGTACTCGTGGGCCTTCTTTGAACCAAACAGTCCGGGGAAGCTCAAGGATTTTGGGAGGCGTATCGCTCTCTGGTACTCCCTGCGGTTTGATGCTTTACATGCAACCGGACCATGTGATGGTTGCAGACATGGGACTGGCAACATCCAACAACGTCCATTGTGAGTCTTTGATCATAAATCGTTGCCAATGGCCTGACAGCTGACACTCAGTTTAGAGCGTCCTCAGTGTCACATTCAACTCAGTGCTTGATGACTCGATCGATCTTTGTTTCCTCGGACATGATAGATTATTGATTGCCAGCTACAGCTTAATGATCTACTCAATCGAGGATATGTCCCAAGCACCACAATTACCGACATGTTTCTTGTTGCCTATACCACCAACGATGAAGATAAAGTGCATCCTTCCGATGGACGACGTTGAACATAGCTCACAACCACAGATACAGACCCAACAAGCAATGTGGACGTTAGACCCTCACCATCGACTCTCACATTTTATCCGCACCTCGTCTTCATTATTTCCACCAGGTTTTTGACGTCTTTAAAGGAATGGTTCCCGCGATACCATGGAAATATTGGGGCCCTCTAAATGCTCGTGTTTACTTGGCGTTAGCGGAAATCGAGTTTTGTGTCGTGCAGCGGATAATGTCCCGGGGTACAGGTTACATATGCTGGACTTCAATCTATTAACTGTCAAGTGGTCTAGGACGAGTGGTAGCCATCTACAATCAAAATCAGTGAGTGGGGGGAGGACGTAACAATGTCCCTGCCTTACGTCGAGGTCGTGTTGGACAGAAGTTTCGGTTCCTGACGAGATATGGGTTGGTAAGGGCGGAGTTAGTTTATTTGCTTAAGATGACTCGAGAAGTCGTAGGTTCATCCCCCTGTAAAGAAGGCCTTACATACTGATCTTTTGAATTTAGAATGGTACAGATCAGCTTGAGCTCGAGGTCATCGAGATTTAGAGCAGAGTTGGTTAGTCATGAAGATCATCGGACTTGTTTAGACTTGTACCATATATTGGACAAATGCAATTGTGTCTATCGTAACCATTTGCGTTTAGGTTCCAACCGGTCCGAGTCACGTTTGGTACACTAGGCAGGTTTCGAATGATCTGCGATCATTATACCAGGTCTGTCATTATATATTTTGGGTTTGTGCCAGTCTGCACTTCCCTCTTTTAAGTCATAGTTTGGGCGCGATGGCCATAAGCTTTAGGACTGCCCGAAGGTTCTCGATGGGTCGCTTTCTACTCCAGACACAACTGGACATCAATTTTGACCCATTTATTTTTTAGGATTGATTGGGACGCTCTCTCTCGTATGCCTTGCACTCTCCCTCTTTCTCTGGGGAGCCGGATACTCCAAGTCGAACAACATCGGTGCTGTGATCGTCATCTCGACAGCCGCATTCATCGGCTCGATATGGACGTAAGCCCATTCTGTTGTTAGTCTTTACACACCAGAGCTCATCCAAACCATGCAGAATATTTACGAAGGTGGTACATAAACCGCAGCTCGTTTCAGTAGAGGCCACATGGTCGTTTGCCCTGTTACCTTTCGAAATATGTAGGACATTTTATACGGGACGAGACCAAGCATTTATTCTTTCACATAGTACTAGGTCTTTTCTCCATCAACCTCGATATCGCAAACGTGCCTGCTGCACATGCCGCCTACCTGTGCCTCGCAACAGTTATATGGCTCAACGCAGCTCTGGGTATGTCGATGTCCTTTGATTGCGGGGGGCCGTGCGCTCAGTGTAACAATAGTTTTCATATACGCGGCAACCATCATTCTCCTTGCCTTCTTTACTCAGGTTTTGCACGATCAGGATGTTTGGTCCCGCGACATTGATTCGAGTCCGTCTCCGTTCCCACTGCATATCATTGTCGCATACGCCTTTTCGTCTCTAACTCGACCCTTTTCCTTGGTTACCCGTCAAAACAGGCCGACGTCTCCTGTATCGAAGGAGCACTGTTTCCCTGGCTGTACTTGCTCCCGTAAACTTCCCAACTCGTCTCTTGCAGACCTGCGGACTCTCGGACCAACCTTGGAGAACGTTACCGGCGATGTATCAAGGAGTCCGCACCCCCTTATCAACATTCGTGTCCCGACAGCGATGGAAAGACCGAAGCCAATTGCCATCACACTTCGGTCACGATAAAGCTTGTCAGACTCTTACTAGATGCGTAAATATATCTGCCGAATGCACTTAGATTCACCGTGATCACGGATAAAAAAACTACGATATCAATTACGGCGACGCGAAAACATGAAGCATCTACTTTAATTGTACAACTAGTAATGTGATGAGAATATGATATGACGCCCCCTTTAACCCTACGTCTTACTCGCTCTGAAGTTCATTCTGGAGTTGTTTGAGCAAAGTGGGATCCGTCTTGCTTATATACTGGTTGAAGATATGAATGCCCCCGCAGGTCCGCTCTGCTTCCTGTAACGCTGCAGCCACATAATTAGTGAGCTGTGTGGTGCGAACAGGATCATTGTCCAGGAGCTGCCGGGTACGTGTAGGTTGAGTGAGGAACAACAAAAATATCGAAATCACCGACCGTTTTTCGACGATCAAACTCGACAGTGGTTTCAGATTCTGCATAGTATGACTGCGGCACCTGATCAAGGTCCCAGTGAAGTGTCAAGGGGCTGCAATTGGTATGTTAGAACATCAGGATGCATTGATAATATTCACTATTGCAGACGTACCTGACATCTTCATTTTCAGCCAAGCTCTTGCTCTCTTTGACCTCAAAGAATACGTCTGTCCAGAGGTTGAAAATCTCGTTCGGTAAGCGATCAAGCACTTCAGGACGACCGGTGGATACAAGAGACGCAATGCCCAGAGCAGCTAGTTTGCGATGACGAGGCTCCGACATGTGGTCGAACTGCCATGTGAGTAAAGCATGTGAACTAGCTCAGCGCTTCATGACAACATAAGACGAACCTGCCGCCACCAATGGTCCAGCACTGCTTCCCAGATTTTAGCTTCAGGGAGATCCATAGTCTCCGCTGTTGCTGATACAAGCTGCAAGAACATCTGTCTGTCCGCTATGGCAATCCTCGCAAGCAAATATATGCATTCGGTGAGCAGACTTGGCGAGCTCTGTGAATTGTGAGCACACGTGCATTGTATTCAATTAGTACAGACAACTCACCTCGTCGTGATTCAGGAGGTTAACAATGTGACTAAACAAACCAGCAAAATGCATGGCTTGGCCCCAAAGCGTAGCAGGCGCCAACTGAGTTAGGAATTGGAGACAAACCAGTATGTCTTTCTGATTAGTCATTATGGCCTGACCTGTGAGTGCTTTCACAAAAGCATTCATTAGCGGTTGGGCGAAACTCTAAACATTTAGCGGCGCCTTTAGGTGAGTAATAAATAAAGTACCTGCAAGACGGCGAGAGCGTCGACAAATAAACACGACTCGACTATAGACACTATTTTGCCAAGCAGATCTAGATTGCTTGACAACAAAGAGACTGCCAGAGGGACCAGGTCGATGAGACCGGGTCCACCAGTATAGCCCAACGATGATGAATTGCGAACGGCAGCAAGCCAGAGATTAAGTGCGTCTTCATCGAGGTTTATGGCAACCTTCGTTCGCATTAGCATACAGCGCGTCAGGCACATAGACAAGTCTCACGCCTGGAGAAAGGCTGTCTTGGACAAGGGGCACAATAAGACCGTTTAAAGATGACTGCTCTTTCATCGCCTGTAGTACATGAGCATCACTACCAGGTATTGTGATGTGCAAAACTCACCGAGACTAGACTTGTCACGACGACCAAGAGTTGGATTTTGAATAACCACTCCTCGCCCGCAGCAGTCCCTAAACTATGTTGAAAAAACAGCATGACTAAGGAAGTGGTGTTAGGGACTTACACAACTGAGGGATGCCTTCTGAAATCATTTGTGCGTGTGGTGTAATCTAATAAAAATGCGCATAATGTGCTGCAGCGTTGCACGGAAAACTCACTCGAGAACCCGCACGTTCGATCACTACCTTGAGACTCTTGGCCAGACGCTGTTTCGCTTCCATTGTGTCCGCCTCACCCATAAGCTTCACAAGTTCAATAACCGCAGTAGGCAAGTAAGGTACGAAGACATCGATATCAAAATTGACAGTCTATATAGAATGTGAACATAGAATCGTGAATATGTAAAAAGAGACGTACATCGATGCACTCCCGCAAGGCTGTGGCGGCAGTCAGTCGAACAACAGAATCCGTGCCAGGACCTCTGTCTCGCAACAAGTGGATGAGGATGTCCCAAACATTGGGATCGTTGGCTGGTGAACACATGTCGCTAATCCATTTTCCAATAAGCCATGCTATGCGGCGCTTAATGATTGGATAGCTGTAGCAATATATGAGTGAGTGATGTAGAAAGACAAAATAGACTCGCTATTGGTTCGTCTCCCTTGCTTCTGCGATGAGGTTATGTTGCAACCACTGGCTGAAAGGAATTACTTCTTGTAGGTGAGTCGCACAACGTCCAATAGCACAGTACAGAGCTTCTTTCTGTATGACACTTGCCGAATCAACCGTTGGTTGCGCTGGAAATGGGCTCGTCAGTATAGGAGCACATACGAACTGTATATTCACCAATTATCTGCTTGAATGTTGTCTCAAGTAGTGGTGTGACATAAACCTTGTATTGCGATGAAAGGGTCATCAAGACGCGTTCACCGCATGGCTAAAAAGATGAGTCTCATGGCAAGTTGGATCTACATGTGGAACGCACTCGCAATTCATACTCCCATTGATCATTTTCTTTGTCTTCTAAATTGACCCACTCTTCTGGATCAGACATCCAACCCTCGAGATCTGCCAGGTTCAAGGGGATGAAACGTGTCACGAGAAGCCGGACGGCATCCTCGACAAACTCTTGCGAAAGAGCTGGGCGACTCTCATCAGCACAAGGCCACAACTCCCAAAGACAGTCAATACTAGTCTCGGTTTTTGGGCCACCTTTGCGAAACGGCGTCCATCTCGAGAGATTTTCCTTGAACAGGACCATGGCCTGAAGGAGAAAACGCACCGGGAAAACCGCCGTTGGAGCGTCTATGTAGTATGATGAGCAAAGCCAGCATCAGGGCAGAATTAAACTCAGAACCTTGTATTAGCTCTGGCGGACCATTGGTGGCTTGTACAACTCTGTCCCAATAGTAAAGGACGATTTGGTTACCTGTCGGAAGCTGAACAAATTTGTCGGGTTTAAGTTGCTGTAGTCTGCGGAAAAATTTCCCAAAAACGCGGACATGACGGGTCAGTCTGTCAACGGACAAAAGCGTAAGACGATCTGATGTTCCAGATGCTCTCAAGGCAAGGACGAGGTTGATTCGAAGTTCAGACAGTATCTTCAATTGTCCGGTTGAACTCTGGAAAAGTTGCAAGAACTGTATAGTTGATAGCCGATCAGTCACGCTCATAGATTCTCACATAGAAAACACAAACCCAAGGTTCAAGTTTCGCAAACCCGCCTTCAGGCTGGGCGAGTCTAGGCCAGAGCCACAGAGCCATCTTTACAAGACACTTGTAGATGAAATGAGCCACGATGAGATTGTCAGCAGTGCGCTGATCACTAAGCGCTAGTGGCACGAGTGCGGAAATCATCGACGACAGTTTGGAGTAGTAAGCGAACATCACTTCATGCAGTTGATCGATGATCTAATGAAGAATGAGGGTCTGAAGTAATGATGAGATGAAGAGCGACGCACATTGACCATCGTCTTCACGCCAGCCAATAGCTTGACGCCGCTGAACTCCTTCAAGACACTGTTAAGAAGCGCGAGACCCCTGCGAAGGGCAAGAGTTGACCGCGGCTCGCTGTTGGGAGAACCACAGAGGACTTCAAGATTTGTGCGAATGACGTCCATGGTGTCGGCTAGCAACGAAGGCCTAATAGAGAAATTAACGCTGCAAATTCAGTGAGATGACATCAAAGGTACCAACCAGTTCATGGGGTAATCTTGGCGAGCAATTTTCGCAACAATTACTTCATTGCACTCCGCAATCTTATCGAGTCAGTCATAAATTAAATAAAGCCACATTGAGTGGCAATACTTGCCGTATCATCTTCCTCGTCAAAAAAGGTCATGCATCGTGACCGGATCCTAACTCGTTGTTCGTCTGATAAAAGTCTGCTTTATGTTAGCGAATACTAGACCATGTATTGAAAGAAGCACGCACTTCCGTGATCTCCAGTGACTCAACGCCTTGTTTTTGAATTGAATGATGCTTTGCTTCCTCACAGGCAGCGGTACTGATCGGGTGGCGGCGATCTCGTGTAAACCATCGAAAGTCCCAAAGTAGTCCAACAATTCCTCGACGCGTTTACTTGATGCGTGGACTTCGGCAGGGTTTTGAGACGACGCTTGAGTGATGACTTGATACAGCTCTTGAGGGTCAACAACTTTTGTGATGACCCCAAGCTTGGATGGGTTGGCCATGTTCCTTCAAGTTGCTATCGACAAAGGATCGGATAACTCGACCCCAAGAAGAACGCGGTGCCACTAGAAGTCTGAATCACTGGATCACGTTTTAAGGAAGTAAATAATTAAGAACCAAACAGACTCAAATAACGCGTCTCAAGCGCCAGATTGCACAGTGGTAAGCTTTTCTGGGTTTACAGCTTTCCTTCGTCCTTGATTTGCACGAAACATTACATGCGATCCAATTCACACCATGCCAGAAACTCTCAAACGCAGGCTACTACACGATGACGAGCTCGTGGAAGACTCCGAACCCGAAAGAGAGGAAAAAAGGCAACAGATAAGGGAGCAAACAAGGAAGAAGAAACGTTTGCGTATGGACCCACCACGAGCTGATCTAGAGCAAGATATTATCGAGTTAACCGATACCGAACTCAATCCTTCCGGTCCGTCAGTTACTGTAGGTGGTCAGAGCCAGATCAACAAGCCTATCGGTGGTGAGCCTCTTTTGACTGTGTTTCAAAACTCTTGGTACTCATGTCCCCTCAGCTTCCAGCTGCAGTCCACTGACGGAGCTGGCTTCTTCCCGGGAACTTCAAAGTGCGAACCATTTTGCGATTGATATACCTCGACCTTCGTTTGCTGGTGAGGCCTACACTGATCAGCTATTAAATCTCTGATTGCTGAAGGGGTATAGTAATCGCTCCTGATAAACGTAGAAATCGTGTCAATGCACCCAATACAGCGAATGGGCCCTATAGCGCGCAGAAAATGTCGGGTATGAGCCGCACTTTTACATACCCCACCCCGCCTCCTATTGCGACCCTGGAAGTGCCGCTGTCCAGCGACTCTGAGGGTGAATCCCGCCTGAAACTGTCTCACTTTGCTTTCCGAGCGCCTTCATCTAAGCCTAAGATCACCGACCTCGGAGGTTTGTCGTGCTCGGGTAGCTCTGTCGCAGCGGACAAACTTCCAGAATCAACCTCTGCTCCGAAAGCCAGACTGAAGCGCCCCAGTATTCGCCGCTTCTCTGACGACTTCTCACATGCACAACTTGCATCTCTCATCAGCTGCGTTAGTTGCAACCTGAAGTGGACCTCGACGAAGACTGCAAGCCAAAAAGTGTTCCACATCCAAAACTGTGCAAAAAAGAAGTTCCTTTCCGATGAAACAGTCCGGATACTTATACACAAAGAGATTCAATCGTCCTCAGACCAGAAGACTTTGGAAGAAGGCCAAACGTCGGCCACTTTCCTGGAAACGGTTGTCAACGAGGTCTCCCGGACGAAGAAAAGCAGACGCCCTCAAATTCTAGGAACTGTCAAGTCTCTGCCTGAAACTCGTGGTAGTATACTGGGAAGGGCGCGGGCTGTCCTTGATACTTCTGTGCAACACGGAGACTCCGTCGTAGACGCTCAGGTGTCGGATTTGACCCAGGGAGGTAGAAGTGACGTTCCCTGCACTCAAGCTTTTGGAACTAGCATGTTTGCCCGTCGAGCAGACTCGTATCCTCGTGCACAGCCGGGACCAGTGCTGACCCAGGCTTTCGGTGAAAGCGCCCTCGCCCATTTGCAATCTAACTTGGGCCTCGTTGCGCGACATGCTCAAACTTCTGGTCTTTGATATAAGCGTGGTGGATTAGGCTGCTTCTAATGCCCAACTACTTCATGCATTTACTTCCAACAAGCATCCATGATCGTCAATAACCAGCACACTTCGCAGTCAGGCCATATGCCGTCAGCAGCTTCAGCCTTATCAAGAGAACGTCATTCACTCACTCCCGCTTACTTGACAACGAGCCGAGCTAATTTAGGAGCCGATCAATTTGTGTTCAAGTTGACGCTAGTACTAGCTCGTAATGGTCTCAACGTGTCTTTCCTGCCCCTTTATTCATTTCCGTGACGCTATTTTGTAGCGTAGAAATTCTGACTATAATGTTCTACTATCACCTTGCATCTTGCTTGTAATAACTCAGGCATCCTTGCCGCCTCCGGGTGGAGCCTTACGTAACGAGGTAACGAGGTTTAACAATTTAACCATGTTAATTTATTGTTGGAGTAGTGCTCATGTTGACGGGGACTAATAAAAGGCGTTAACCTGTTTTTTGTGACATTGTCCCGCCACCTAGTTCCTCTCTGCTCGCTGCTTGCGTTCCATGAATAAATATGCCTGGACGTCGCTCTCCTGAAGACGACACCACTCTCCTCGACGATTCCAAGTCCAAAGAGTATGACTGCGCCCGGGATGAAAAGGGCAATCAGTCCGAGACACTGGACCAAACCCGTATGGAAGAAGACAGCGATTCCGATACGACCTCAACAAATTCATCGGATGAATTTGACTGGGACGAAGAAGAAGTCCCTAGTCAAGTAGAGAATCCGGAAACTGGCACAAAGGCGAGACGGGGCAGGGCCCTTTGGCTCGGCTTCATGAAGCTCGCAAGGCCAGTCAGGGCTCTATTAGTTGGCATACTTGGTGCCGCATTCTTCATAATTCCGTTGCTGGTAGTAGAGTTGAGGTTCAAGGACAAGGAAAGTGTTCGGCTGCAAGTCCGTGTTTGGTCCCTTTGGTTGTCGATCACTTGGGCAGCCTCCTGCGCAACATACTTGGTTGTGGATGCCATTCCACGCACTGTGATCTACGTTATTTTCTTACTTGGTGGCCAAGTCGAGCGTCTGAAGACGCAGATTGAAGTACGTACCGCTCGGACTTCTCGTTAGCAGTCTGGCTGAATCTATTGGTATAGTTGACACTTGCTGTCTCGGCATGGCTAAAACTTATACTCGATATTTCATGGGCCTGGATAGCGCTATCTGCAATTACGGCCTTCTACAAACCTCCTGGTGCATACTGGGTTGTTATTAACCGTGTGATGCAGGTAAATGCTCCTCTCATACTTTATTACATTGGTTAAATGTCATTCCGTTCAACAGACTCTCTTTACTGCAGGTATCATCCTCTTTGTTGAAAAATTGTTTTTAAGGTTTGTCGCCATCAACTTCCACCAACATGCACTCGCAGATCGTCTTGCGGAGAATCGGATGGGACTGAGGGCGCTGGACTATCTATCAAATGCACAACTCGCTCCCGCAAAGAAAAGTCCAAACGTCAAGAATGGGCACAAAAACACTTTGAGTTCTTTTGGGACCGCACTTGACCTTTCCGTATTCCATGGTAAGAGTCACCGCCGAGATGGAACAGATGGAACAGTCAGTGGGCAGGCCAGTACAGCTACTACACCTGTTCTCGAGAAACACGAGCGCGAAGCACACCATCATCGGTCGCACAAAAAGCGTCATACTAGTCGCGCCGAGACGAAAAGACGACGCAAGGGGTATATGGCAACTGTTGTTGTTGACCAGCTGACCGGCGCTATTGGGCAAGTGGCGCTTAAGAATTCCAATTTTAACCGAGGCGGCGACTTCTATGCCCTGGATTCTGCGCGGAAGCTCGCAAGGAAGCTCTTTCACGCTCTTAGTGTCACTAGCCCTGGACGCTCTCATCTTGTCGTCGAAGGTATGGTAATTTGATGATAAAGAAGATGGCCTAACATTGTTTCTTGACAGATTTCTACCCTTATTTCCGTTCGACTGCCGAGGCGGTGGGTCACTCCATTTCTACGGGTTCATTCATCTCACAGTTTCAGTAGCATGCTGCTTTTGCTATCTTTGATAAAGACGGCAATGGTGACATCAGCAAGCGAGAAATGAGGGAAGCTGTACAGAGGATTTATCGGGAGCGTAAGGCCCTGACTGCCAGTCTGAAAGTGAGTCCATGTCTTCATTCGAGAAATACTGCTCACAGCTTCACATAGGACGTTGACTCAGCCGTTGCAAAGCTGGATGCAGTCCTTGTCTGCATTGCATTGCTCGGTATTCTCTTCGCATGTCTCCTCATTTTTAATAGGAACGACACGCTAGCCTCGCTTGTTCCTCTTGCGACAATTATTCTCGGATTTTCGTTCATCTTCGGACACTCTGCGCAGACGCTGTTTGAGTCGGTAAGTTGGAGCAATTCGTTCGTCCATCATACAACCCAAGTTCACTTCTGCTTAAACAGATGATCTTCATATTTTCTACGCACGTCTTCGATGTCGGCGATTTGGTCATGATTGACGACCAGGTGTGTTCCTTACGTGAACAGCTTGCATCAAACTAACAAATATTCCTTTAGTACCTCATTGTCAAAGAATTTGGTCTATTTTCTACTACTTTCCGTCGGGTTGACGGCCAAGAAATTATCGCACCGAACTCGCTGCTATCAAGCACGAAGCTTGTCCATAATTTGCGGCGGTCAAACAGCATGTGGGAGAGCACGACACTAATGATAGCGTACAACACACCCCTCGAGCTCGTTGAGCAGCTCAAGGCACGCATTCAAACCTATATCACAGCAAATAACAGGGAATGGAGTGGATCCGCGGTGAACATCGACAAAATGGAGTTCCAGAACGCGATTCATCTGACGGTGGCTGTTGAACGTGAGTGTCTGTGTAACTAGATCGACTGTGGGGTCTGATACCTGGATTTGCTACCTGCTTCAGATCGCCCGAACTGGCAGGACTGGGGAGGGCGCTGGACGCGGAGAACTGCTTTCATGAAACATCTCAAGAACATTCTGGAGGATCTAGATGTCAAGTATACAAAGCCCGTACAGCCTGTGCTGCTGCCCAGCTCTCCATGCCCGACGAGCGCGTTCCGCAATGTAGGCGTGGAGGTTAACACCCGTGGCGGCGAAGAGAATCTTACTGCATGGAAGTAAGACGGACTTGTGAAGTTGCATTGTGCTATGGCCCCTTATGTTATGACTCCACATCCCGCAAATCTTTTGTAGCATAGCGGACTGTAATAGACTTCAGAGATCTAGCTAGAATCCTGTTGAAGGGCGGTAATGTAGCTACATATATGCGCATGTTAGTTAGATTAGCAAACAAATCAGCACAGCCTAAAAGCCGGCATGTTGAAAGCCGGGAATCGACAGATTTGAAAAAGCAAACTCGAGAAGGAACTATGCCAAGTTGATAGCTATATGGGGGCCAGTGCAAATGATGAAGTCAAAAATATTATCATGCTTTTGGGCTCAAGGCTCTGTCTGCCAAACCAGCGACCTCGATGACGCCGCCTACAAGGTGCAAGCTACCCGTGACGAGCACGCTAGCGTTGGGCATTTTACGCACTTCTTCCACGGCGTCCTCGATGGACGGCAGAACGTGCACTGTGCCAGAGTAAGTTGGGACAAGCTTGTTCCAGGCTGCTTCAATCTCTCTCTGAGTCTTGAGATTGAGGTTGTCAGTTGTAAACATTGCCGCGGAGGTAAGGTCTACCGGAAGTATATATAAGCTTGCATTTGAGATAGGTGACGATACTTACCGCCTTTGAAATTGCCGCTGGCATAGGTCACATTACTACAGAAAATGACCTTGGCGAAAAATTCTTCCTTCTTCTCCAGGCTGCCATGCATCGCCAGTCGCTCCTCTATCTTTTGCAAGATGGCTGTCAGGAAATCATCTCCTGAACGTCCACTGGTGCAATTGAAGATAAGTACTCGGAGTGGGTGCCCGTCAGAAACGGGGGAACTAGAATCCAATATAAACGGGATGTCACTGAAACTAATGCAGATAACAAACGTACACGGGAAGCCCGACTGCTGGGCTTACAAACCATTCCAAACAGCACGCAAGGCTCTCTTGTGTGTGTGCTCCATCGAGGAACCATGTCGTAGCCTCAAACTTCGGATCGAGTACTGTCTGGCAACGGCCAGGCCAGTGAGCATTTTTGAGGCCGTCCAGAAAAGATGTAGGGAGGGATCGCAATGGTTTTATCTCTGATCCGCTCCATGTTGCGCTAGTAGCACCACTAGTGTTGGGATCTGACATGGGGGAGTATGACCGATCCATGATACTGAGGAACGTGTGCACCAATTGTACCGCGAGACCCGCGTTCGATCTCTGGTGAGCACCGGCAAGACCTATAACAACGGATTAATTGTGTAGGTAAACGGAAAGACACCGATAAACATGCCTAACTGGATAGTGGAAGGGAGGGTGTCAATAATTGTGAACTGAGATGCCTGCAGTGCAAACACGTATGAGCTATAAGGAGGCGTGAGATGTAAGAGAGTGCGAATTACCCTCTGCTCTGCTGCACAGACACCAAGCTCAAGTATGCCTTCCTCAGGCTGTTCAACAGTCAGGGCCGGAACCCCTTCCTATTCTATCTGTCAAATACTTATGATGTGGACCTGACAAAGAAACGCGCCTTATATATTCCACCCTTCTGATTTGCAATCTGACTGAGCTTTTCTCCAAGAAGCCTTGTGTGGTCATACCCGAGGGCGGTAACGCCTGTGACAACTGGCTTGGGGACGATATTTGTACTGTCGGAGCGTCCACCAATGCCTACCTCAAGAATTGTCGCATCAACCTAACGATGAAGTTAGAAAGATAAATGGTCAGGATTTTTGGCACACCTTGAGTTGGTTGAAAGTGTAGAAGGCCAGGAGCGTAAGGTAGCGAAAGTAGTTTGGCATGAAGGGGGTAGTGACGGCTTCGCACTGAAAGGGTTTTTTGTCTAGTGCGGACGACTATTAGTGCAAGAAACGGAAACCAAATACCTTCGTATTCTGGAGCAAATTCCACACCTCGAAAAAGTAACGAGTAAATTCCTCCTCTGAAAGTGGCTCGCCGTTGATGCGAATACGCTCACGGACAGCGACCAGGTGAGGAGAGGTGTACAGGCCTGTGTTACTTGTCAGGGGAGGCTCTCGTAGAGCTGGGAAAGTAAGGCATACCAGTTTTCCAGCCTGGCCTAGCTGCCCTCAATAATGAATCTGTAAATGCGCTTGTAGAGCCCTTCCCTTTGGTTCCCGTGATATGTATGACATTTAAATTGTTTAACTGGGATGGCTGTAACGGTACTTCGTCATAAACAAGACAGTAGAGTTGACATATGACATACCTCAAGGCCCACCCTGCGTAGATAATCGATCATTTCAGATATAGCATTAGGATTGAGCCCCACTCCCGCAGCACGTACGGCCTCCAGGATAGCAGCATTAGTTTGAAGGCTGTTCAGTGCATCTATAGCATCCCTGTAAGTCGGAATGGGTGCGGTGGACATCCTGCGTCCGTGAAAATGAGAGAGTTTTAGTCTCTTGGTATGTACAACAATAGATAGGAAGTTGAAACGATAAGAAATGGGCATCAGCAGGTGCCGGACATGAAGAGATTAAAAGATAGCGCGTCTAGGCCAACTGTGGCCCGGAATAATGTGGGTGAGTCACATGACCAGGCTATTGAAGACGCGTGATAAAAATAGAACAACACCTCCTGAGACACGAACCATACCCATGCACTAACTACAACTACGATGGACAAATTTGTAACTGTAATCAAGCCTGCGCGCTCCTCTCTCAAGGAAACAGAGAAATGTACAAACTCATCACGATTTACTCCATATGCTACTTCAAAACCGAAGACCAACAAGAACTTCCCAGATGGAATGTCGAAGTCAAATTACCCAGAGGCTGTGGCACAAGACAAGGCGCGCTTGCGCCAGTGCGTATCTTCTAATTTGTCTTCTTGCATTTTCACTGACCGTGGCACCCGACAGGCTCCTGGCCCCTCTCAAAAAAGACGGTACCTCCAAACCCTCTGCTGGGGAAATCACCAAGCACCTGCTGAACACCCTTGCGGATGAGTCAAACCCAATTACTCATTCTAATATATATGAACGTTCTGGTGCATTTTTATCCTCCCCTCTTTTGCTTTCGCATTTCATTGTTAACTTTTCAAACTATCTACAGACTATATTGTTTCGGCCGCATCAGGCCACCAGCGCTCTGACAGGCGTGGTGGCGGGCATGGTCGAGAGTACCTTGACGAGCGCTCTGAGAAGCTAGAAGCCCAGAAGCATGAGAATGCACGCGACTTACACCCAGTGAAAAGAGACGAAACAGAAGGGAAAAGGGGTGTGCTCAGTGGTGTACGCATCTATATCGGTGGCTACCTTGCGGGAACAACCGACATTGAGATGAAGCGGATAGTTTCTGGTGCTGGTGGTGTCACGTTGTAAGCGCAATCTCTCTTGTGATCTTCCGAGTCATTAATTTTTCACAGGCTTTCCCCTAGCGGCGCTACGCATATTCTCACGTCGCAACAACTCTCAGGTTCGAAGACTCATAAACACCTCGTGTCAAAGCGCGTTCCTGCACATGTGGTGCGGCCCGAGTGGGTATTCGAGAGTGTGAAGGCAGGTCGTAGATTGCGAGAGTGGGAGTTTACGGCCATTAAGCCCGGGAACACTATGGATTTGGCAAAGATGTTCGGGCACAAGAAGGAGCTGTAACTGGGAATTTTTTCGCGGCTGGTCCTCATTGTGTGTTGATCTCGAGAATGTATCGATACCAATAATTTATCATTATTTTTATTCCAATTGCCATTTAACGCCAAGAAAAAGATACAACGATAATATATTCTACCGTAACAAGCCTAGTAGTCCTCCTCAGTGCAGTGATTGATGGAGACAATGAAAAGATAATTATTGAAGTTTTTCCACCGCAGGACACAAGAGTGACTGAATCAGGTCATTCATTCAATTTGTCTTCTCACATATCGGTCCTTGTCGATTAGTGGTTAAATCATCGCATTGTGGAAACACAATTCTGCGAAGCCGGAAGTTCGAATCCTCCCTGGGACATACCAAGGGCATTCTTTTTCCATTCCATTTTGCGCCAAGACGCATGTACTGTATGTTCAATCGCCTTGGTGCTTTACTTACATGCAAAATGAGCACGCCGTTATAATGTGACATTGCAGCGAGGCCTCAAGCCTCACTCCCTGTAAATGTATAGCTCCCCAAGCTGCCTGTCCCACTCCCGAACTCGCTGCTAAAATCGGATTCACTCCCCTCGTCGCCCTGACTACTTTCTGCATCACTTCTCTCTCTATCTCCATCACCCACGCTTTCATTTTCAGCCCCACCCAACGTGGAACTTCGCCTAAGGTTTCCGCTTTCGCTCTCCAGCCTGTATCGATCTGCACTCCTCACTTCCTCGGCGCATCGCAGACACGTCCATCCGCATGAGCCATCATCTGCGGCGCGAAGCATGCGCTCAGCAAGACAAGCATAACAATAAATATGTTCACAAGAAGCAAGATATGGCGTTGTTATCGGATATGGAGGTTCCCCGTCTCCCTCGGTATTATTATCACCAACATCGCTGTTTGATGATGCAGAGAATGCCGGAGTGTACGATGCCAGTGCGCCAGTAGCATCACCAAAATTCACATTTAGGGAAGCGTTCTCAGCACAAATTGCGCACTGGTCTGGTGGGAGGGAATAATACTTTCCGCGTTTCGGCGCGCGTATTTTTTGTGTAGGGGAGGGAGCAGGGAGAATGGATGAAAAGGTTGATGCGAGCCTTCGTGCCACGGAGCGAGGATTGATGAGCGGGAGGAGGAAGAGGAGAAATTCCTATAGCAGAATGAGCCTGAAATGAAAGCAAATAAAGGAACGACGTACTGTAAATGCGTGCCAGACCATCTGGCGATTCATAAATTCATAACTAACATCACGTTTGAGGAGAGCCTGCGAAGGTTCAAGCCTCATCATCAGGAATCTATCAACAATTGTCCTGTATCTGCGATAAACCGTATCAAAAATTCGCTAACGATAGCACGCACTGCGGGAACGTACTTTCCGTTCCATAAGAATGCAACGAAGTTGAGTAGACTGAATGCACCATGTGCGGTCTCGAGACTCATCAAGGCAGCCCAAGCGCGGCGACGGGTATCAGATGCAGGGGCATCTGGCCACGCATGCGAGAGCGCATATGCATGGAGTCGGTTGTGGAAGTAGGGAACAAGGATAGTGAGTGCACCATGGATAATTAGTCGTCGTCGTTGTGGAGGCCTGGCTGCGGTATATTATTCAGACGTCGAATATTTGCAAGAGATGTGTTCACTCACAGCCCAGGCCAGAACTTGGGGCGGAATACCGCAGGCCCTGCAGCATTGCGCCATAGCTTGCACCAGAACTCCAAACAGAGAAGCGATAAAGCACGAGTTGGACGAGGAGTGCTAGCTCAGGCTCAAATCGAGCTTTTATGGAGGCCTGTTCCTGCATCAGCAGATAACATACTGACACGTAGAACACGTACGTTGACGGTCGCAAGGGCCTTCGATACTGGCTCTGTAAGTATGTGCACAAGTTCGGCATCGAGGAGCTCAGCGTCTAGTTGTCCAACGCGAAGAATGCGATGGTTCGGTCTATGAAATGCTGGGGACGCAAGGACATCTTGTATAGAGTGAAGGTGGGGCTGGGCAGCGTCCCATGCTTGCTGCCATGGACTGCTCATCGAAGCGGGGATACAAAGTCGCACGTGATTACATGATATTGAATTGACTCGATAGATTTGATCTAATAGCTTCATAACGCGAACGTCGACGATGGCAGAACAACTACAGCAGTTAATACTGGATACTCTCGATGCACAGTTGACTTTACCAGATACCCGTGCACTAAAAATCCCTGGCCAATCTAGCCCAGCGTCCAGTCATGATGCACAGATCACCATTCTCGGTGCCTTAAATTCGTTACTCAGCCGGGAGGCTAGTTTACTTTCCTTTCTCTCATGATCTCGTATTGAATGAACTTGCAGATGATAACGTATGAAACACATGAAGCTTCATCGCATGTGCTTACACCCGAGGGCGTCCAGATCGTGCGTGAGGGCTCGCACGAGGCTCGTGTCTGGGCCGCCCTCCCCGAACGTGGTAGTGCCCCGCTCGGCGCGCAGGATCTCAAGAAAGCAGTGGGAGACGAGGCTGCAAAAGTCGGGCAGGGACGTGCGTTTAAGAGTGGATGGATCTCGAAAGAGGGGAATGGTTTCGTCAAGGCCGTGCGTGTTTCGTGCTGATATTTCTATGACTGTGCGATTAATAGGCCGGTAGGTGTCTAATATTACAGATACGACACAGATTGAGCTGCGTGAGGTAGAGTCGTCAGGGACACTGGCGGCCGGTGAAAAAGCACTCGCTGAATTACGAAAACGCAAGCTTATCATACAAAGGTTCCACTTATTCGTCCAACGTAAATTATTGAGTCTAACTGTTACAAAGAAAGGGTCAATGGTTCACTGTGCATAAAGGCGCCAATTTCAGTACTTCGATTGCAAAACCGGAGACTGATTTGACCGTTGATATGCTCACTTCGTGAGTTTAGTGTTCCAATGTAGCAGTGTTAAAGCTTATACTGGTCTAACCCCCAGCGGCTCTTGGAAAAAGTCCACCTTCAAAAAATATAACTTTGACGCAGATGGGATACCCACATCCGGCGGTGCTCTCCACCCTATCCTTAAAGTCCGCGAGGAGATCCGTAGTATTTTCTTAGAAATGGGGTGCGTGATCATTTCATCGTATAATGAGGCTGTAGAATAGCAGAATCACACTTGATGCTGAATCTTACGGATGTTACAGTTTTGAAGAAATGCCCACGGGAACTTTCGTCGAATCTGGATTCTGGTGCTTCGATGCACTTTTCGTTCCCCAGCTGCATCCTGCACGCGAACTCCAAGATACCTTCTATCTCTCAGGTATGTGCTTGCCTTCCTTGCCTTCGTCAATTTATCGAAAATTTATAGATCCGTCGACGTCCCTCCCTCCGCCGTCCGATTACTACGAACGCGTCGCACGCGTGCATGAGCACGGTGGGTACGGCAGCATTGGTTACCGCACACCCTGGTCGCACGAGGAGTCGCATAAGCTCCTCTTGCGCACGCACACGACTGCCTCGTCCGCTGCCATGCTATACAAACTCGCAGCCAAATGTCGAGGCGAAGATATCGACGGTGGCCTTTCTGCAAAATCGCAACCTGGAGCCGCAAATCCGAGCGATGATGGATTCAGACCAGCAAAACTCTTCAGCATTGACCGCGTGTTCCGTAATGAGACAATGGATGCTACTCATCTTGCGGAATTCCACCAAGTTGAGGGTGTTGTTGCAGATCGGAACCTGACACTTGCAGATTTGATTGGTGTGTTGTGGATCCTTCCTTAATCCATCTTCCCTCTACATAGACATTTACTAATAACCTTTCATCTGCACAGGTTTCATGCGGACTTTCTTCCGGAAGATGGGAATGAAGAATCTGAGGTTCAAACCTGCGTATAACCCGTACACAGAGGTGCGTTTTGACCCTCCTCTCCGTTTCAGGTACTGATTGAAACTTGATAGCCTTCTCTTGAGATCTTCGCCTGGCATCCCCTCCTTGAAAAATGGGTCGAGATCGGGAACAGTGGCATGTTCCGCCCTGAGATGCTTGCACCCATGGGATTCCCACCTGATGTGCGTGTGCATGGGTGGGGAATTGGGCTCGAACGACCAACTATGATTCGGTGAGTAGTCTTTTTTTTCGCCTCGTCCCACCCCTTCCTGCATTCTCTTATGGGGCGTGATGCTGAAGTTCTTGATACAGGTATGGTGTTAACAACATCAGAACGCTTGTCGGGCACAAAACGTCTATCGAGAATGTGGAGAACTCGCCCGCTGTCATGTTCTAGATGCATCAAGGGGGTGTACGCTGATTTAGAAGATACCGAAGATGTATCACCATAATTTTAAGTGCACGCTTAACGAGTGTCACGCGAAATAAAATGATTGAGACAATAATAATTTTTGCATACAATATCAGTGTAGGGTGTGTACAATCTACAGCATCATAAGGTACCAGAAAGCTCAGAACGAGAATACAGCAGCATTCTTCCTCGACCCGAACATGTACACGAGCGCTTGGGACATGAATAGCCCAACCGTGATACCGATCGTGACGGCTATCATCGCACTTCCAATATCCACACCGCTTCCGTCTGCTGTGATGCCTCCCGCCTGCGACAGACCCGACTACAAAGCGTTCATCACCAGCAAACCCAGAAAGAAAGAGCACTAACCGGAACAAGGAACAGCACACCCGTAACCATACTCGTAAACGCCGTCCCGCCCATCTTCCTCGAATAGACATTCCCCAGCAATCCCACAGTGAAAGCCCCGATAGCGCTCACGATATCGCTCCGATTAAAGATATAGTGATTAGCGACTTTGTTGCTCGCGTAACTCGCACACGAGATGACCACCATCACCGGAAGTTGTTTGCTCCGCCACGGTTGCAGATTCGCGAGGGACGATAGGATACTGAACAACGGGACGATGAGGAACTGCGTCCAGAAGGGGAAGGGCTGGAGGTACCAGCCGAAGTGTTTAGGGCGGTAACATCCGCCGATGATGTCTGTCTGCATCACGTTCGTGTTGTTCGTGAAGGTGAAGGTGCCGTAGATGGGTCCTAACCCTGAGGAGAGCGATGAATTGCCGCTTGTGGAGTTGTCTGCTGCGAATGTGCCGACGATGGTGGCGCTCGTGGAGATCTCAGCGGCAAGTGTGGTGAGGTGGTGCCGTGCGGTTGGATCGAAGAGGAGGTATAGGTCTGACCCAATCTGCAGACCGAAACCCAGGAAGAGGGTGTAGATGAGGGCGTATACCATTTTAACGCTACCGCAGACGATGTTTTTAGAGGCCAGCTCCAAGGAACTACTCACTGGAAATAGGTCAGCGGGAGGAACGACTCTAGAAGAGGCACTTACGAATCAAATAACCAGGAAGAATACCGATGATTGCAGACGACGAGACAGCTGTATAACAGAATATCTGACTTCTGATACTACTGAGTCCTCGTGCTGTGAAGGACACCAGCATTGCCGTTGTAATCCTAGTAAATTATGAGCATCACGATGAAAATATGAGCATCGAGATATCTTACTCAAAGACGTTCGCATACATAGCGCTCTTCGCAGCAACCCTGAGTTGCAGGAAACACAACACAAAGGCGCCACAGCCAGCGATCCCCATATCGATGAACGAGCCTCCAAACGCCAGCGGACAGATTAACACTGATAACCAGAAACTCAAGATGCACCTGAACCACCACGGGTACAGCGGTTTCGCCGACAACAGGTCGTCGAGTTGTTCCGTCGCCTTCCGCGCACTGATCTCATCGTGCACCACAGCACGATAGATGATGTGGACCTTGTGCAGGCTGCCCAACGAAAGACCTCCACCGGACTTGATGAAATGGGTCTCCGAAGTCATCGTGTCGTTGTCGCCGAAGGAACAGATGATGACGCTCGGTAGATGGATGAACTCGGCGTCGACTTCGAGGATGCGCGCTGCTGCGAGGAGCTGTGATTCGATACGGTGAGAAGGTGCACCGAACGTCATCAGCGCTTTTGCAAGCTTGAGCAGGAAGTTTTGGCGATGGATGATGGCTGGAACCCTGCACTGAGCTCCAGTTGCGCAGACAGAAACGAAGACTTACAAGTAACATTGAACTCGATCTTGATCTTCTGTTTCTCCTTTCTGCGCCTGCGATAGTCCATCTGCTTCAATGCCGCCCGCTTCTCGTCGTCATAGTCGTCGAGACACTTCTTCCTCACACCAGTAATTGTAGGATCATCTGGGTCCAGCAGCTGCGAATTCTGGGAATTATCCGAGTTCGCTCTTCGCATGGGTTCACCGCCCATTTCTTCGTCGTACTCATCGTTAAGCTGAGCAAAACGACGACGTTGGAAAGGGACGTTCTCGCCCTCGGCATCGACTCCGTACAGGTCGATGAGGTTAGAGAACAAGCCACGTCTTCTCCCATCCTCGTCGTCCACGTCGCAATAGTCGACCTCATTGTCATCGTCTGCGTCCTTTTCGTCATCATCCAGCCTGACATCGTCATACTCCTTATACTTATCCTTGCCGTCCACCGTCTGTGCCTCGATGTCAGTCAAAGTCCCTTCACTGGTCCGAAAGTCGACATGCCGCTCATCGTCGTTCCCCATATATGCATTTCGCGGTGGAGGGATATCATAGGGATGCTGATAGGACGACATTGAGTATCTGGAGTCCTCGTCTTCATATAGCGTAGACTCCGAATCTTTGTGAGCACGACCACGTAACCCTTGGTTAGGAGCGACTGGAGCCTCCGACGCGTAAGTTTGGAGCGTCGGTCGTCTACTTCGTGACGCTCGAAGATGGGCCTGAGCTGAGAAGGGGTCGGTGAAATCCGGTACAGACGCACGAGGCCCCCCGGTCGGTCTTGTAGGTTCAGGGATTTGGGGCTCAGGGATTTGGGACTCGGGAAAAGTATGCTCAACAAAGCGCGGACTCGGGTTGAACGAAGGGGGCCTGGGAATACGTGAAATTCGACCAGTACTGTCAGAGGGTCGCGCTTGTTGCTGCTGTTCGAAAGAAGAATTTAGCGACTGCCTTTGTACTTGACGTCGCTGGAGGGTATTTGTGGAGGGCCGTTGTAGGTAACGGCCTGAGTCTCCATCGGGATACGGGTTATATGACATGACCTGCTCGGATAGACGACGAAAGTCCAGCTTTCGAGGCAAGAACTGCAAGAAATCTGATAGCGTCACTGAGGGGGATGACGAAGAAGGGGTATGGTTCAGTGGGTGGTAGGAGAGGAAGGCGGACGGGCGATATAGACTTTGACTGAAACAAGCGAGAGGAAGCAGTGTCTTGGTCATTTCAGTTTAGACCAGTAGAGTCACCAGAAATTACGATCCCGTCCAGTCAGATTCTACATTGAGCCGATCGCAATATTTTCGTGCATAAATCGCCAAGGTGACCTGCAGGCCAAACCTCTTGTCAAATGAGTTTATAGTAAGCACGGGGACTCATCACGATCAAGTCCATGACTTGCGATTAGGTCACAAATTTGGACTAGTGCTAAGGTTGTTTCTTAGATCAATCACTGACGGGACGCAATCAGCACCAGCACTTTGACTTGATAGCATCCAGCTCACCGCATCTCGAATGTCTGACTCCGTAATTGAAATGCTCACTAAGGGTGCTCAGTATCAGTATAATCAAGAACCGTTCTGTATTCACAGTTGAGCGTTAAATAGCGTGGTTCTCCCATTCCTGTACCGTGATACCCATGATGCCATCCTCCGCACCCTCAAACCTCTTGAAACCCAATCGGCCATAAAATGCCGCCGCCTCTGTATTCCTCGTATCCATGCCCAACCAAACGCTCTTTACAGCATTTTCTTTCAAATTCTCTATCGCCCGTGCGATCAACTTCCGCCCCCATCCCTGCCGCTGATGGCTTGGCAGAATGTCAATGTGCAAATGCGCAGGCGCGAACGCCATCATCGCATCGCTCGCTCTTGGGAAGTTCATGATGGTGTTGATATAAGTCCTATCAGCAGCCGTGAGCGCTGCATCAGAGTCATGCAGTAGGGGGCCGTAATGGGCTTTGAGCGGGGGCCACCAGTCGGCTTCTGCACTCTCCTCGAATTTGCGGGTGTCGAACGCGCCGAGGGTGTACCCTACGACTTGTCCGTCGTCGTCAAGCACGAAGCCCCATGTTGATTCAAGGTTGAGGTAGGGGAGGGCGTAGATAAGGCCTGGGAGTGCAGGAAGGGAATGTAAGTGCTCGGATGATGTGCCCGCGTTTGCGGTGAGCAGGCAAATGTTGGAGAGAGCAGACTGGTCAGCCTTGGTAGCTGGTCGGATGATGGGGGCCATGGTGAAGGTAGACGAAGAGAACGAAGGGACACGGCCGTAATCGTACCGTGTGATATTACTGAGCACATGGGTACATCACCGAGCTCGTGATCCTGCGACATTGCCGAGTGAAAAAATAAAGTGACATGTCTGAGAGCCTTATACTGAGAGCAGTACCTCAGGTGTGGATGAACGTTAACCCCGTACAGTCCACCCACAACAAAGGTACACATCTTATTTTGGATAAGAATAGGGTTAGGGTTAGGAGGGTGGTGGAGCAAAAAGGAAGGCCTGCCCAGCCAGAGTGGCCGTGGCAGGACAGGAAAATATTGAGACGGTGCATGAGCCGGAGCTCATACAAACCATAGTTACCCTCTGTATGGACAAGGTCGCCGTGCTATGAAGGGTCCCCACAGCCCACAAACCCGTGTACATGAAGGAGCTTATGCCATCAAGGTAAGTATGAGTTGTTACACTCTCAACAGCAGCCTTATATACATTTCATGACAGTGCACGGACCATCATATCCATATTAGGTACCTACGTGTGGTCATGCTACTTTTTCGACCTGCTCGAGCCTCATCAGAAATGATTCATGATGCTGCTCGAAGATATATTGCTCGCGAACACCGTCACAACTTATTCAGAAATAATTTCTCGTAGCTGCTCATTCACGATCGGTCTTATAGTGGCAGAGCAATTCTGTTTGAAAGTGCTCCGAGTGATTCTGATTTTGTACCTAGCATGTGGTTCTACTTTCCTCCTTTCCCATCACCGCTAGGGGAGTCCTCGCCAGGCCCAGAAATCACTGACCAAACATCACAGTCAGTATATGCTTCGCAACAAAGGAAAAGCGAGTCGAGAGTGCAGTCCTTCGACTAGCACAAAAGAAAACAATGAAACTCACGCAGTGCCCCGAGAACAACAACCATATATATCCAGTACTTCTGCACGAAACTTTTCTCAGGAACAGGCACTACTGGCTCGCCTTCAGGCGTGAGCGGAGGTGGGATTCGCAGCTCAGGTCTACAGACACGAACATGTCAGTCAGACAAGTTTAAGGACGCGAGAGAATGCATACAAAGGTGCCATCCGTGGTGACTTGAGCACTATACTCGCGTTATGTGCTGGGTAGCTCCCCGTGCTCGTCACAGGGCATATTCCATCTTGAGGTACTGGCGACACGGAATAGTCGATCGCAAATGGTTCTCCCGTTGCGGAGAAATGGATAACTATATTTGCGGATGTGGAGGAAGGGAGTAGACACTATGTGGAGAACATATCAGTCCTTCACTCACAAATCAAAGTAAAACATGACTGACTGCTTTAATACTCGACACTGACCCCTCCGATTCTGGAAGCTCGATTGCGACGTGGTACATTGCGCCTTGCATATTAGGATTCACTGCGTCTGCGAACTCTGCAAGGTCATCCTGTAATGACTCTGCTAGTGACAATGGGGCGTGCGAGCCAGTGGGTGAAATGGATTTGAAGGATGGGATGGAGACAGTTCCCAGCTCAGCCCATGGTGTCACAGGAAGGTCAGGATGCACTACACGGTGCATTAAACGTAACTCGGTGGATTCATTGGTTTGGGACGTAACCAGCTGGGAGAACAGGGATAACGTTAAGAGCGCGAAGGGTATTGGAGTGTACATGTTAAGTCTACTCGTCAGCGCACATGCGAAACATGATGTTAGTGGTGGGACCCCGGCATAACATATTGGAGTATCCAGGGGTCTACCACTTGACTCGATGTGATTAATTGATTTCTTCAAGTCTGCAACTGTGATCTACAAAGTAATCCTGAAGTCCAGCTACACCCTGCTGGCTTCATATCTTCTACTAACCAGAATCAGCCATGCCCACTATCTCAGTAGACAAAGCCGAGCTTTTCGAGCGGCTCGGACATCAGTATAGTACGTCCCCCTCCAACTGTGTTTTCTATAAGTCTGATCACATCGCAGCCACGGAGGAATTCGATCGGTTGTGCTTTGACTATGGACTAGAATTAGATGAAGACGTATGCCATTCTTTGTTTTTTCTAACGCCGGAATGATTCGCTGAACGAATAAAAAGACCACAGCGGAGGTAGAAGCTGCGATCAAGAAAGGACTTCCCGCAGAACGTCCCGTGCGTCTTGCTTTCTAGTAAACCAATTACACTCATGCCGATAGTTTGCTCTAGCAATTAAAAATCGAAGTACCCGCAAACAGGTGTGCTGCTAGTTGGCGCAACCGCAATGCACATCTAATTAGCACGCAGATATGATCTGGTCTGTCTAGAAGGTATCTCGCGCGCCTTACGTGCTTTTCTAGGAAAACAAGATCCGCCGCAATACACACTCGCATATCCCCCAGGCGGTGAGAAAGATCTCATCACCGTTACCGTCTCCCAAGAGGTACCCGTACCCTTTACATTGTCCGCACTAACAAACATCACCACTCCCAGACCCAACGCGTCCGTCCCTTCTTCGCATGTGCAGTGCTGCGCAACATCAAATTCACGCCCATAAGCTACGCATCCTTCATCGACCTCCAAGACAAATTGCACCAAAACATCGGGCGCAGGCGAAGCCTCGTCGCCATCGGAACACACGACCTCGACACCCTCACCCCTCCATTCCGATACGAAGCCCGTACACCCACCAACATCGCTTTCGCGCCTCTCGGTCGGGAAACAGTGCACACCGCTGCAGAGCTCATGCAGATCTACGAATCGGACAAACACCTCTCCCGGTACTTGCATATCATCCGAGATTCAGATGTCTACCCGATCATTTATGATGCAGAGGACCACGTGTTGAGTATGCCACCTATCATCAACTCGGAGCATAGTAAGATCACGCTGGAGACTAAGAATGTGTTCATTGATACGACTGCAACGGATGATACGAAGTTGCAGATCGTGATTAATATGGTGGCGAGTATGTTTTCAGAGTACTGTGCTGAGCCTTTCACGTGCGTCGTTTTGTTTTGAGCTTGTGGTTTGATTCGGGAGCTGAGGATCTGTTCCAAGGATCGAACCTTGCAAGATCGTCTTCCCTGACGGTTCGACGCGCATATCTCCTGATATCACTCCTCGCACCGTGACCGCACGCGCATCGTATATTAACTCCTGCACCTCTCTTTCCCTAAAACCTTCCACAATCCAGTCCCTCCTGTCACGCATGAGCCTCTCACCCACCCTCTCACCCAACGACCCCGACGCTCTAATCGTTTCACTTCCATGCACGCGTCCTGACATCTTCCATGAGGTCGACATAATGGAAGACGCAGCAGTCGCTTACGGGTTCAACAACCTCCCAGATATCTTCCCCCAAACCAGCACAGTCGCACAGCCATTACCGATCAGCAGGCTCACAGACGTTATCCGGAAGGAGTGGGCGATGGCAGGATGGGTCGAAGCGTTACCTTTCATTCTCGTACGTCCCTTCCCTTCCTTCCCCTCCCCTCCTCCACCTCAGCGCACCTAAAAAATACAAATACCTAACAAAACCCAACAGTGCTCACACGAAGAAAACTTTTCCTTCATGAACCGCCCCGATATCGGATCCCTAGCAGTAAAAATCGCCAACCCCAAAACCCTCGAATTCCAAGTAGTCCGCACATCCCTCTTGCCAGGGCTGCTCAAAACCATCCGCGAGAACCGCTCGCATGCTCTCCCAATGCGCGTTTTCGAGCTCAGCGACGTCGTGTTCAAAGATACCTCTCGAGAGAGGCAAGCGCGGAATGAGAGACATGCGGGTGCGGTGTGGTGTGCGAGGAGTGCGGGTTTTGAGGTCGTACATGGGTTGTTGGACAGGGCTATGAAGATGTTGGAGGTTCCGAGGATCGGGAAGGGGGATGGGAAGAATGTGGGGGTACTATATTAAGGAGGGGGATGGTATGTTCTGGCTCTTGTTTTGTGTGACGTGGTACTGATGTGTTTTAGATCCTGCGTACTTCCCTGGACGCGCAGCGACTATTTATTACCGCCCGCCACCCTCAAGGACCCCCAAAACAGGCGAGCTTGCTGATGAGCTCAGAAATACCCTGCACATCAATCAAGACCGAGACATTGTGATCGGCACGCTGGGTGTGCTACACCCCACCGTGCTCGAAAAATTCGAGATCACGTACCCTTGCTCAGCGCTAGAATTCAACATGGAAGTCTTTCTAAAGCGATCGTAGTTGACAATGACCGGAAATAAATTGCGTAGGATGTAGGATGTACTTGAAATGACATCTAATTTCCAAAGACGAAAAGACGCCAACAGACAGACTTTCAATAAATATCACTATAAGCACAATTGTGACCATTATCGTCTTAATCCTAGAAAGATAAATATCACGTCTGTCGATAGAAAGCAGAATACACGGCCTATCCGGTCCTCGAAGCAAAGGATGCGAACTTTACAAGAGGCCTGCAGCGCGCAAGTCCTCACACAGCCTACGCTCGCGCTCAATTGCATCTCTGATCCGCCGTGCACGGTCTGGATCGGTTGGAACGACCGATTGCATCTCTAACGCTGTATCTCTCCCAATCACATCATCACTAACGTCGTGGGAAGGCACCCGTTCTAGTCCGTCTGCACCCGAAGATCCTGTTCGTGTAGGAACGCGGAACACTCCGAGACGCTCAAAGAGTGATTGTCTCCTTGTCTCTTCATCTGCTCCTGGCTGTGACGTGGTAGAATTGGAAGAAGAAGAGATAATGCCGCGTTCCCAGCGCTTGACGCGCCAGAAACCGAAAGCACTTGTGAGAAGGAGGAACCAGCCGGCTGTCATGAGGAAGAAGGAAAGCCATTCATTGGCTGCTGTGTTTGTGAGGAACCCATTGTTTTCTTGTAGTCCTTCTCCAGAGTTGGACCAGGAAGATATATCGTCGGTAGAAGCGAACGTGGTATTATTTAGGCGGTCGAGGTTGGCGTCCAACCACTCGTTGGCGTCTTGGGTGCTTGTGAATGTGGGCCAGGCATCGGCTGGGTCTGAGCCTAGAGGTGTACCGTTTACGTCGTCTAATCGCGCACGGAGGCTAAAGCCCCACTGGATTAAAGTGACACCAAAACCTGCCCTGCTGCCGTAACGAGCGGCGTGGGTTGTGTGCATGACCCATGTGAGAACGAAACCAATGAATTGGAAGGTGACACTGATGAGGGCGTTCCAGAGGAAGGAGAAAAGCGTGCCTGTGGGAAGGCCATCTACGACAACACAGCCTTGGGAAAGAGTGAGGGATGCATGAATGGAAGAAGGAAGGAAGATTGAATGAGTGTGGTAAGGAGGAGCAGCGTCAGCTTGGGCTGCTGCATAAGTGGGGGGAGCTGTGTTGGAAGATTCTTCTGGAACAAGATATACGTTGTCTCCTGCGAGAGAGTCAATACGTTCTTTGATGAAAGATTGAATGATGGTTACCTTCCTGTACACGTACGCCTTGCGATGGTTTGGCAGCTACGTTACTGAATACACCGTCATTTCTGGTGCCCCCTCCAATGGCTCTGCGAGAGCTAGCTTCAGCAGTGAAACCCCATCTGTTGACATAATGGGATGGTAGGACGGTAGCTGCAGTTCGCTTCCACCATGACCCTGTTGGGGGTGGAGGTAAAGAATCTACAGCAAAGACAGGTATTATGCCATTAGAATTTCCGAATTCATTGGGCACAGCATGAGAAGATGGTTGTGGGGGAGAACCAGGAGGAGGTTGGTCATAGTCGCAAATCGGAGACTCGAAATTGTAAGTTGAAGGATTCAAAGGATTTGGAAAAGTCAGATGACTTGATTCATCTAGGTCATCACCATCGTCGTCATCTTGGTCGTCGAAAGCAGCTTCGAGTTCTGCTGAATCTGGGTCTGTGCGTGGATTAGGGAGTGGAGCATAACGATTAGACATGGTATGAGACGAAGGAGGATTACATGAATAATAAATAAATAAAGACGTTGATCACAGTTAGCTAAGCATCTATAAAGAAACTACTTTGGCCGTAAACCGGGCCGTTAGGCGGTGAATACCCTGGTGAACCAGTTCCACTGGCATTTCTAACCATCCTGGTAACTCGCTCACAGCTCTCCATCCTAGCTTGCATCATCCTCTCAAACATCTCTAAGATCTCCACTCCAGGCTCCCTTCCACTCGATCCAAGTATTGGTTGTCCTCCAGTCTGGTTGCTGTGAGCAAACGCCGGTAACATTGGTGGTGGTGCACGCTGTTTCACTATTCCACCTCTAGGCATTCCTCTCGTTGTTGCAATTCCCTCCAACTTCAATCCAAACGCCTTCTTTCTTTTCATCCACTTGGTCGTTTCTGATGTTTTCTTCAGCAGAGTTTGGCTCCTCCATCTCCCTCTCTTCTTCATCATCTGTCGCTGCTGCTGCGCTAGCGTCTCGTTCTTGCAGTGACATCTCTAGTTGTGCGCGTGTACGGTACACCCACATCCGTTCCTGATGATAGAACGCGACTAAATTCTCGAGAAGCGTAATTGTCGATTCGACAGGATGTAATCCAACGCGTGGTGGTGAGGAGGGTGGTGTGGGTAGTAGTGTATTCATAGCCATGGCCGCTTGTTGTTGGGCGTAAGCCTGCTGCTCAACGTACCCTGACGAGAGCATAGTATAGAATGGTCTAGATGTTATCCTCGAGAACCCAAGACGATAAGACACGAGACTAGAGACGGCAAGGGAAAAAGTCGAAAGTGCCCTAGTTATAAACTCGCATGATTCGGGCTGGCCCCTCGGCCTAGACTGCTCTTTATTCGGCCCGCAACGATGCACCCGTCGGAATTTCAATTTACTGCGGGGTACTTGCGGGGTTACAGTATTATGTAATGTTAAAATCGGTTTCGATGGGTTAGATTGACATGAGTATGACACGAATACGAGTACGTTGCACTTCTTGGCAGAGGGATTGTCCCACTGCAATATTTGCCAACGGCGAATTCGTAGCTGCAGCAGCCTTCTCTCCCCAATCAGGTAAAGGTCCGCGCTCAGCTTTCTTACTTGAACTTCCAGCCTCAACTCCATAGACAATGAGGTCGACTCGTACTATATGCACCAGGCAGTTCTAGTAGGTGATCGAGCTCATAGCTCGCGCACTCGAAATTCCACCCTCTGATAATACAAGCCTAAGGTGGCGCTAATGGAGACTATGGTTTACGCAGTGCCGGGGGTGCTGGCGTGTTGGGAGACGAAATGGAGGATCTCTATACGTTATTACATGACGTCAAGGTCAGATCCATCCTATACAAATCTCACTCTGATCTCATCGCGACCAGGTCCACCATCCAGGCCTACAAGGCGTATCAGTCGGTACCATTCTCTCAGAGTCAAATTACCAACGTGTTCGCGTCGAACACGTGTGCGGATCAAGCTCAACAGGTGCCGTCGTCTCTCCCTTACGCCCTTGGCGGCCTGGCCTACCTCTGGTAACGCGATCAAGCCGAATTGCCACCATCCGAGAATCCGAGATAATCTCAGCTGGGATCAAAAGCGTGCTCATCTAAGTATCAGGCATCGGTCTTGACACCTAGGAAAATTGCGAGAAATGCAGGACAGCCTCTCGCGCTGGCTTGCATGTTTGTGGCGAAGTGGTCGAAAATTCAGTCCATATAAACAAATGAACCACCCCCCCCCCCTCCAATTGAATAAACCACACCGCATCCCAGACGCGCTATCGGATCATGGCTCACAATTGGAAACCCCCACCCAGACCCATCTCTAGGCTCATTCGTCGCTATCGGATCACACGACCGACACCCCCACCCCTCCATTCCGATATGTAGCCCGTACACCCACCAACATCACTTTCGCGCCTCTCGGTCGGGAAACAATGCACACCACTGCAGAGCTCATGCAGATCTACGAATCGGACAAACACCTCTCCCGGTACTTGCATATCATCCGAGATTCAGTTGTCTACCCGATCATTTATGATGCAGAGGACCACGTGTTGAGTATGCCACCTATCATCAACTCGGAGCATAGTAAGATCACGCTGGAGACTAAGAATGTGTTCATTGATACGACTGCAACGGATGATACGAAGTTGCAGATCGTGATTAATATGGTGGCGAGTATGTTTTCGGAGTATTGTGCTGAGCCTTTCATGTGCGTCGTTTTGTTTTGGGCTTGTAATTTGATTCGGGAGCTGAGGATCTGTTCCTAGGATCGAACCTTGCAAGATTGTCTTTCCTGACGGTTCGACGCGCACGTCTTCTGATATCACTCCTCGCACCATGACTGCACACCCATCGTACATTAACTCTTGCACCTCTCTTTCCTTAACGCCCTCCACAATCCAGTCCCTCCTACCCTCTCATCCAATGACCCCGACGCTCTAATCGTTTCACTCCCATGCACTCGTCCTGACATCTTCCACGAAGTCGACATAATGGAAGACGCAGCAGTCGCTTACGGGTTCAACATTCCTCCAGACCAGCACAACCGCACAACCATCACCGATCAGCGGGCTGACGAGGTCATCCGGAGGGAATGGGCGATGGCAGGATGGATCGAAGCATTACCTTTCATTCTCATACGTCCCTTCTCCCCTCAACGCCTATACACGTCTAACCCAACCTAACAGTGCTCACACGAAGAAAACTTTTCCTCCATGAACTGCCCCGACACCGGATACCTAGCGGTAAAAATCACCAATCCCAAAACCCTCGAATTTCAAGTAGTCCGCACATCTTACCAGGGCTGCTCAAAACCATCCGCGAGAACCGCTCGCACACTCTTATAGGGCGCGAGCCAGTAGTCTTTAATTATGCCGATGTCATTAACGATACAGAATGCGGTAGTACATTGCATGTGCCCCAAGCAGACAATAAATATGATTTAAAAGGGTGATTGGATTACCCAACACTACCTCTTCGATATAGGAAAGATGGGAACATTCTGGGGCGATTCGATGCCTACAAGTATCTATCCCGGATTCCCGGAAAGTGCTATTTCGTCATCTTCAGTGATACATGTAGGGTGCCTTCGCAGTCCACATATACAGTATCACTAAAGCAACACGGTCAGTTTGAGCCCATCCCGCGATACAAATCGAACTGAGGAAGATTAAGGAAGAAAACTTACTTGTCCGCAGGCCAATAACCCAACTTGTAACGTATTGCGCTGACTTTCTTCAAGGGTTTAGGGACTGTGTAACTGTCTAATGATCTGCGCATCGGACAGCAAGGGAACAAGGGAGCAGAAGATGGTCACATTTGATCAGTGCCTTGGCTTCGAATGAGTGGGAATAAACCTACTGATCAGGTACAAGTATGTCTGATGCCATAGACTGCGTGATACTACTGGTTAGAGGGTCCGGGGTCACCGATGGAGGCACGCCTCACATCGGGGCATTCATGAATCTAGAGGCGCGGGGGGGGGGGGCACAGGGGCCCCCAAGACTAGACAGTATTGTCTTACATAGAGTAAATCTCAAAGACAAAAATCCTGATTTAATCAGGCCAACTTTCGACTTTGCAAGTCTTGCGTCGAGAACATAAGTAGGAGGAGCGCGACACCCTCAGCACTAAAGCTCGAGAGTGTCCGCGGAGAAACAAATGTATTTTGCAAGCCCGACGACCCAGCTGAAAAGCTCGGGTTTGTCGGGGCTAAAGGTACAAAAATTTGAGTCTAGATCGCTAAAGGACTATAAAAAGAAAAAATTGAAAGACGCGCGGTACGTGGGTCAAGATGGGATAGATGATAATTGTTGTCCAGTTTGTTAAGTGCCTGAGGAGTCAAGGTGCGGCAGCAGTGGCATCGTGTATGATTCCTTGTAGAATGAAAGGGTGAACGCGAATGTATTTGTGAAATTCTTCTGATGACCATCTTCCAGCTGCTTGTATGAGAGCTGGAGGCACCCCGTCAAGTGCGAGAGCAGTGGCACCTCCCGCTCGCATAGAGTGTCCGCTGAAACCCCGATTTGCAAAAACCCATTGAAAGCGTGCCATAAACCACGAGCGAGTGGGAACATGTCCATTTGAACGCAACCATAGCTCTGGATAGTGAGGGAAACTGGCGTCTCGAGAGCGGAGGTAACCCTTGAAAATATTGAGACAATCATCCTTGTAATTTGACCTGCGAACAAGAACCTTGCTACCTTGTCCAAACTTATCCGATTTAGACAAAGGCAGTGTTAAAACCGTAGCTCAAGGGTAGACAGATCCGAAGGGCTTGGCCTCAGCTTGTGCGCTGTGCCCCTTACCCGAGTATGTGCCCTTAATTTCAGAATGAAGTCCGAAGGACTTCCGGAGGCTGGCTACTCTAGTAGAGTGCTAGGGGACTTCCGGATGAGTGCGAGAAACTTCCGGAGGAGTTTCATCCGCTGTATCAGATCCGAAGGTAAGACTTCCCAAGGTAAGTTCCCTAGATAGAAACACATAGAGGATAGGCTGCAAGGGACAGAGTCCAAAGCAGGATAGGATAAGAGGAGTGGTCCGAAGGACAGGACGTCCGGAGGTCCGAAGGTAAAGATGTCCGAAGGTTACGACATCTGAAGGTTACGACATCTGAAGATTACGACATCCGAAGGTCCGAAGGTTTACGAGGACCGGAGGAGTGGACAGGATTAGGACAGGAGGGGAAAGGCTACTATGGACAAGGTCCGGAGTAGAAACAAACAGAGGTAGACTACACTATGGTAGAGTCGGATAGACAGAGTTTAGACAGAAGTCTCGGAAAGACAGGAAGTGCCGGAAAGGCAAAACTTTGGTCTTAGGGAATCAATCCCTAGACTTCAGAACAGAGGCATAGGGGACAAATCCGAAGGTCCGGATTTCCAGCCTAGGGAATCCATCCCTAGGCCTTGATGGAAAGGCAGAACTCAGATAGACCAAAGTCCGAGACAAGAATGAGTGAAGTCTAATGTGCGAGAGAGCAAGTCTATGTTGATACAGAGCAAAGTCTAAGGCGATATTCGAACTAAGGAAACTTTACAGGAGTGGTACAGATCTTTATATACTGGAAGGGATCCGAGAGGATCGGTAAGCTAAACACAAATGCTATGTACGAGCATGTGGAAACATATTAGTAAGTATGAACGGAACATAAGCAAATGAACTCGGATATGAACAGAGTACAAGGATCAATAAGCAAGACGGAAACAGAGATAACTGAAGTCCGGAGTCAAGGGGATTACCATAAGGAGATAGACGCTGATTTAAGGTTTGGGCTTCGGATATGAGTATAGGTCAGATCCGGAGGTCTAGAGATATCGGATGAAGCGTCTGGATATCGGATGAGCGGATCCGGAGATCTAGGTGAATACGAGACTAGGATATGGATCATGGATATAGACCGGTAGTCTAGGAAAGGTAGAGTCCGAGATGGAATGAGCTCGGATCTGATAGGACTAAGGGTGGATGAAGCAGGCTTAGCTGCGGAGGTCCGAAGGTATTGATATATGGATGTACGAAGGTGTACGGATCCAAACCGATAGTGGACTGGAGGACTGAAGGCATGGATAAGGGTATGGAGTCATGGATAAGGGTATGGAGGTCCGGATGTGCATCCAGAAGGTGTCCGGAAGGCATGGGAACATCATCGGATGTAGGTCCGGAATACGGGATATGACAGGCAGCATATAAGATACTGAGTTATCGCCGAAGCACACGGTGTGTCTCATAGGGACACGGTCATAGGATTGCAGTTTAACCTGATCAGGCCAAACTAGTTCTCCAAGGCGTTGAAGCGTTTCGAATCCGAAATAGAGTTGCGCAAGGAAAAGTATATCATCATGATCTGAAGATTCATGATAACGAAGGAAGGCACCATGTAGGTCATTGCGAGACAGAGGTTGTTTTCTTTTAACAGGATGACTGAAATGGCGCTTACAGCCAGTGAGTGTGCACTGTAACAAATGAGACCGGCGAACTGCGCGGATCTCAGGAAATTCGTCCTCGAGTTTATTGCAGATTCCCGAGAGGTAGACGTCAACAGATGTTGGGAGGATGTATGCAGACATCCAGACGGCATAGAAGGAGAATGTATCAGGAGTTGGCGTGAGGGCGAGGTTATGCAGTCTGCAGAATTCGATATAAGATGCGAGTGCTGAGTCGTAAGAAGCTGATGTTGATTTAGCCAGAGTAAAACTGAGCGCAATAGCGCGCTCGTGGAGCAAATGCTCCAAAGTCCACACCTGCCGAGACCAGCAGGACTGGTGAGATACCTTGGTCATTTTTTGGTAGCCCCCAACACATCCCAAGGGGGTGTAAATTCATCAATGATGAGATCAGGCACTTGCCGAAGTGCTAGATGGTTATTGAATCACGATAAAGCATCCGCGATAGAGTTCTCTGTCCCTGGGACGTGATATACACGTAGATCAACATTGAGCTCGATCAAGACGTTCACCGCTGACATAAGGATGTTGTTATATGGCGCAGAGGCTCGCAAAGAATTGAAAATGTCGACAGTGTTAGTATTGTCGGTAAAGATGGCAATGTGACGAGGAATTGGTTCTGTCTCAGCAAGTGCGTGAATTGCACTGCACACTGCTAGTGCTTCGAAAAAGAAAATTGACCCTGTCGGTGCCTCTCCGGGTAAACAAGATTGAAATCCGAAATTCAGGTCTGGGAACCAGTATCCAAGTCCAATGAGAGACACATCAGTGTAGATGGTCACCACGTCATCTGTTGTTTCTGGGTTCCAATCCAGAGAGTCAAGAAGAAGGACGCCAGGTAAATTTTCCATATGATTGGTCAACCATGTCAATTCCCGGACGACATTGACGTTCACATAGATTTGGGCAAGTGGTTTTACCTTGTTGCGCATCTTGGCATAAACTGCAGCGAGTCCTGGTTTCAGCAGAGGAAAAACATTGAATAGCCAATTGATAGTGCCTGCAATGTGCTGGAATTCTCGCAAGGTGTGGTGATGACGAGGTACCACAAACACACGAATGTATGCAATCATCTCGGTTTTCTTTTCCTGTGGGATTGAAATGACCATACCGTTTGGATCGATGTCAAAACCTATGATTGTGAGTCGCCGACAAAAGAGCTGCTTAGCAGGTTCATGAGGGATGCCGAGTTTGTCCCAAAGTTGAAGCAACAGGGCTTGCTTCTGAGGCAGATAGGTACCGTAAGGCTCATATAGGAGCACGTTACCTTCTAACTCGAATGAGAAAGAATCATCCATGTAGAGCTTCAGATGCTCGATCATCACGACGACGCTCGTGACCCACATCACGAGTGACATGAAAGAGACCCAGATTAGAGTGGATCCTCTCCCGCCAAAATTATTGCAGCGGTCCACATAACAGTTATTGTTCACGGTAATTACTTGCTTTAGTTGCCAAAGAGGATGCATTGGCAGTTGATGGTAGGCCTGAGAAACATCCGATTTGAAGACAACCAGAGGAACATTTCCATGCTCTCGCCGGAACTGAAGAAGGCTAAGACCGAGTGAACGCATTCCATCAAGTTTAACACCTGATGAATCATCTAGGTTGATCATGGAGTTGAGTGAAAATTCCCCGGTGCTGTGGTCTACCACAAGACGGAGTTTAGTTGAGTTAGGTTTTGGGACGACGTGGACTGGTGTGCTGTACATGCCAGCAAGTAGATTTGATCCAAACAGGGCCGAGAATCGACCTAGGCGGACTTCTTCATTGACTTGCTCTTGAACGAAAGCTCGATGCTCTTCGTTCTTGAGCGGCCGATGAGAGTTGTCCCATGTCAAAGGGTATCCATCCATAGCAGTATCTGCACACGGCCAGAAACCCTCGCGCAGGCCATCCAGGATAGACTCAACGAAAGGACGATTAGGATGCTCCTGAACGAGTTCACTGAGCACACTAATTTTGATGGGAGTGATGATTGCAAAAAGATCAGGATGAGAATTGAGTGAATTCAAAGCAGTCTCTGAGAAATCGCGGTTTCCCGGATGAGGTAAGGGGGTTGCATACAAAGAAGACTTAGCCGTAGGGCTGAAAGAGGACTCATCTATGAACCACGCCATTCCATGTAAGTACCAAGGGCGTTTAATAGCAGAATTAGTTTGATGAGGAGCAAGAGGGGCAGCTCTTTTCAGGGTGCTCTGCACTCCCGCACTTTGCACATACATGCCGGTAGTTGCAGGATGAATCTGACCAGCTACAAGTCTTGTAGTTCCATCGCTTGCAGTAATCAGAGCCTCGTCGGCATTTTGAACCGCTCGAGACCCCCTCATCATTGACACAGCAACCTGAGAGGGAGAAGTGCCCTTCATAGAGGTCTGAAAACTGGTCAAAGTTGGAGAGTTGTAAGTCTCTCCTCCGACTGACGCATTTCCTGACTGCCTTGTCAAAGGCGATGACACGGGAATGGTACTTGCTAATATTTTGGGTGAACTTTTGATGGATGAAGTTTCCATAGTCTTCGAGTTCGTCAAGTCGATGCGGGAAAGCAAATCGCATTGCTCGCGAGAAGAGCGAGTACGCGACATTCCAGTCCTGCGAGCTTCGCACGGACTTTGCAGGTTCAGCCTCTCCGCCGACCTTAATTTTGAATTTTCCGAGCTTTTCCTCATGGTCATGTTCTGGTTCGTCTGAGTACCATCCTGTAAAGACAACATCGAAGTTGACGACTCTTCCTCGGATGATATTGTAGAGTTCAGACTCAGGGAACTCGGGGACGAATGAAGACTCAAGCCACTTACGCTTGACCCGCTTGGGGTCATGAGCCCAATTCACGAGAATGGCATTGGTCTTTCATAATGAGACAGGGAGTTTCTTCGTCCTTCTAGTGATGGAAGGGTTTGTGAGATTCGAGAGGTTGAGTTTAAATCCTCTGTGCTTTTTATGCGCTGGACCGTCATCCTCTGAATCAGAGTTGGATTTGTCAACTTCTGACTCAGAGTCCTTTTCAGACTCTGAGTTATCTGACGGTTCCGCACTATCACGGTCTCCTCACGACTCTTCTCCATCCTTTGAAGTCTCTTCTTTGCTCTCGCAATCTTGTTCTCCAGCTTGGATAACTTGCTTTTCAAAGGAGTCAAGCATCTGGTGATAAGGACTGATGAGTTCGGCGACTGTTCGCCCTCTGAACTCATTCCTGTTGACATACGACGCTCGCTCGAAGATTTCAAGGATCGCATTGGTCTTCGTGAGCTTTCCTCGTCTATAATCTCCAACAAAGCTCAAACAATCAGAATTGAAGGTATTTTTTCGTGGAGAGGGGCTTCGTTCTTCTGAAGGCTGTTTAGAAGGAGACCGCGAATCACTACTAGTCTGAGTTTGAGAATTTAGGGATTTAGGATCCATGCGCCCTTTTAGAATAAATGATGGAACGAGAGAAACGAGTTCAATATAGCAAAAAATTTCTGTTTCACGGCGGTAAAACAGAAAAGATGCGGTTCACCTGAGCGCAGGTGCCCAAATATACATTAAGAGAGGGGCTTGAAGCCACGTAAGCACAGCGGTGCATGGACCATATCGATGCGCGATAACAGTCGTAGAAATTGCCTCACAGATTAAACCTGCGAAAACAACTTTTACCTCCGATTGTTTTTTAAAAAAAAAGGGTCCGGGGTCGCACTGTCAGGCAACTTTCTGTGTGCCTCTATCCGAATTGCAACATTTCCTTGTACTGGCAAGCTATGCTCTGCAAGTAGGCACTCTGCATACCACTGCCTGTCTGGTCCCAAATAAAACCATAACAGCCATATACGGCCTGCAGGGAATAACATATTCCTATCAGTGCGAGGAAGATAAATGATATAGACCACATACCCCTAGCAACAAATTCTATGCCCATTCCGAGTGTAATACGAAGGCGTTTCTGGAACGACCTCATCTGGAAAGAAGCAATAAAGCAACCATTATCCAGCTCTTGTACCTGAATCTCATCGAGTGGACAACCCAAAAAGTGTCTCAAGGAGTCATCCTCGGCTGACAGTGCACAGAAAATTGATCAATGCTCTCTACTAGTAGGGGCATACAGCCGCATACTATGCACTTACGGTTAAGTTTTTCACTTACATCCAGTTGTGTGAACAATGTGTGGTCGCTAACCATCATGCATGCAAGACGCAAGTCAGAGGAGGAAGCAGGCAATAATTTGGGAATGAAGTTCATAAACACCCAAAGGGCTTCTCGCCGGTTATTTACAATCGCCCAATACAGTGCTGTGTGACCCTCGATGTTGGGCTGTTGCAGGAGTTTGGAGAACTCTGCTGCTGGGAGAGTAGCAGCACAGTCATTGACAGTTTGAGCGATAGAGGAAGGGGTAAAATATGGAGAGGAGACAATTGTATGGATGCATGATAGACATTTTTGCTTGGATTGTAGGAAGGAAAATATCCATAGCTTGGACCAGGCGGAATCTGCTGATACTGATGTAGAAGTTGCATTATATGCACCTGTTAGTGGGGGAAGGATATATCCAAACTGGCTTATTAGCCAAAAACCCTGATACATCATTCAGTTTAGCTATCCACTGTAACACTATCTAGGTTGATGTATCCTTGGGTGGATCCCAGCAGTGCCTTCTGTATACATCATTCCCAGCATATTTTCGCATTTTTTGGCCACCTACCCCCCACAATATTCTCACACTTCATAGCTCCACATTTTGGGCCACCTACTGTGGGAATTTCCCCACAACACCAAAAACATCGCCCATTTTGGGAATCTCCACAATATCAATTATTCCCACACCCTCCCCACCTTACTGCAGCTTCACCACTACACCACAATAGGTCCCCCCTTGTATCTAGTAGTAGTTTGGTACATACATGTATAATATACTATAATAGACCGCTTTTTTGTTTATTTGTATGCCTGCTCCTCCTCCAGGGGCCATTTAAAATAGGTTAGGGTATAGAACACTTTTGCACTTTTGCCCCTTTAATAGAGAAGTGTTCTAGGATCTTCAGACCATGTTTAAGAATATATATGAAGAGATTCCAATCTTTATTTGACCCCCTGAAGCGCCCTACATCAATAGATATGGCATATATACAGAAAAATACAAAATATGTTCTCATGTATTAATTTCTAGGTATAGAGCCTTTGAAACATGATTCCCAGCATCTATCAGACAGTATTAAAAATGTATCAGGAGCTCAGGACCATGGGATGGGACCCTGCTGTGTAGTACATCCCCCCTCTCTTGATGGTTTACCTCCTGTGAAATTTTTTCCTGTAGGACCGGACCTCAAGTATTGCATGGGGTCTATTCCTATGCATATTTAGAGTATATCTATCACCTAGCTACTCCAGAATATCCACAGGGTCATAAAAATAATATATTGCAATTTTGACATTTTTGATATTTTTCATTCCCCTACCCTTGCACAAATAATCCAAGCTGGTCATATATCATCATTGGGGCACAGATATATGCTTTGTATGCCAAGGATCAGCTCATAATAGGCCAGAGGCTTCAGATAATGTGTATACATACTATTTCTACTGATTAGGGGCCCATACCTTTAGGGTATCGAAATTTAATGATCAGACACCTGGAGTGCATGTCATATATATTCAGTATCACAGATCTCAAATTTCAGAAAGATCCATCAAGTATTGAGTGAAATGAATGTAAAAGAACATATGTGTGAAAAGTGACAATTGACACATATCACACAGAATTCACATTTATATATGATATAAGTCAAATATTTCATTAAATTTTGATAGAATACATGTTAGACTACACAAGGAACCTATACTACACTTTGCCCTGAGAGTGGAAGGGATGTGGAAGGGATGTGGTGGTGAAGTCAGTTGATGCAGCATAAAAGTCCTACAACTTCTTAACTGACCACTTTCGATGTTTTGAGCATTTGAAGTTTCCCACACTCAATTTCTTATCTATTTACTTCCCCAGTCCTCAATCCTGGGTAGATCTTTCTATAACGTGAGTCCTATGATGCTGAATGTATGTGAGATGTACTACAGATGTCTGATCATTAAATTCCGATGTTTTAAAGGTATGGGCCCCTAATCAGTAGAAATAGTAAGCATACACATGATCTGAAATCTCCGCCCTATTATGAGCTGATCCTGGGCATACAAAGCATGTATATGTGCCCCAATGATGATATATGACCAGCTTAAATCATTTTTGCAAGAGTAAGGGAATGAAAAACATCAAAAATGTCAAAATTGCGATATATTATATTTATGTTCCTGTGGAAGGACCCTGTGGATGTTCTGGATTAGCTAGGTGATAGATATACTCTAAATATGAATATGAATAAACACCCTACACTTCTTGAGGTCCGGTCCTACAGGAAAAAATTTCACAGGGGGTAAACCACCAGGGGAGGGGGGGTACACTACACAACAATCTCTTGTCCTGTGGTGATGAGCTCCTCACACATTGTTTCTACTATTGAATAGGTGCTGGGAATGATTTTTTCAAGTACATCCACCTAGAAATAAACAAATGGCAACATATTTTGTGTTTTTCTGTATATATGTTATATCTATTGATGTATATGGTGGATGATAGGTTACGGTTCGATTTGCCGATTTGCCGCGACTTATTTGGAAGTCCGATCGATGTTTATTCTAGTATTACAAGTATACCTAGGTATACCTGTAAATTCGTGTCACACTCAGTGCATTCCTTGCTTGCAGACCGCTGCAGATGACCGGTTGACCTGCAAGCACCTCACGCAACTCCCACAACCTCTCGCTGACCTCTCGCCTCTTGCAAGTGCAGCATGTGGAAACAGGCGCCTGTGAGACTCCCACACCCTTGCAAGGCCATAGTGAGCCGCCTAACCGTCGAGTCTCTGCCGATGCGATTAGCTTGGACGCGGGGCATTGTGAAAATGCTGCAACTGTTGCGGTAAATGTGAGGTGTATTTACACTAACTTACTATGCACTTGCTTTGTCGCTGCCATCTGCGTATATGATGCATTTATCAAAGTTGAAAGCATTGAACAACTTCACATGATGAGCTCACTCGGTACTTGGTATTTTGAACTGCAGCACTGAAGGCTAATATGCGGTGAGAATTGTCTTCTCGTTCCTTCAGATTGAAAATTCAGGCTTCGGTTTCTGGATTCTGAGGCGGACAGGTTGGGCCAAAGAACTATGTTTGCTGCATTAAGCATGCATATGATACCGGTGCCTTTCATTCATCTCACTCGTAGTTTGTACTATGATCATTAATGAACCAGAGGGTGCCGTGGCACCTCATTTTGATGGGTTCTGTCAATTTAACCTCCATCGCCCTCATCCATGTCCGTTGTACTCGTTCCTGAAGTGGCAAGCTGCTTTGAATGAACAACCTCAAAGTAAATGTGCATTTTCCCGCTCCCTGCACACTTCTTGCCCATCACAATGAATCATATCAAGCATCCCCTGCGCTACAACACTATTGCTAGTTGATACATGGATGCGCTCCTGAAAAGCAATTGAAGTCATAGCGGTTGCTGTATCAGAGTTAGCCACGAGTTCAGCGTGATATTCTCGAACACCGAGGATGAGGCATGATTCTAGCACAAACATCTGCACGACCTGGAATATCTCAGCGAGACCAAAATAAATCTGAGGGTCCAGGGGATATATGTCCAATAGAAATGATGAATCATGGTTGGATGTAGAGGTCAGTGACAGATCAGCATACCGCTAAGAGTGTTGAAGAGAAGAAACCGATCTGGAAGCAAGAGATAGCGAAAAAACTAACACGCAAAAAACCTTAGCAGAAAATGAGAAGTCACATTGACATTATGAACTCACCTCGCAAAGTAACTAACGTGAGTTTGCATCAACACCATGAAACAGTCCCCGATAATACCTCTTGTTGAGTGTCGTCGCAGTTCACGGAATTGCTTTACAGTAATCTGGACTGCGAGACACAGTGCAAGGACCTCCCATACGGTGGAAAGTATCCAAGTCATGGAAGACAGAAATACATATAGAATCTCCCATGTAGCCAATCATGCACCGATGGGTGCCGGAGAGAATGAATGCCTCTCATTTCATACATAACCAAAGCTTACCTGCTGCAATCTGCATTGTTATTATTGCGACCATAACTGCGTCGGCAATTCTGATGGCCACAAAGATGATAACGAGGCATGTCAGCACCTTTCTAGATCTCTGATACATGGTATGCAACCGAGCGATCATAATGCCTTGCATGATGTTTCAGTCAAGTCAAATGTCATGGAGGTGTATAGCTCACCGCCCAGTATTACAACCTCACCCATCCAATTAAGTGCATCATAGATGATAAGGCCTGACAAATCCAGTAACATTAGTTATCAGCTTCGGAAGATCACAGACTCTGAAACAAACTCACAACTGTGGAAGTCGTTATGTTCAATCAACGAGTTTAAACCTCCAAACGTACACAGCATACCCCATTCCAGCATAGCGCACCTAGAATAGTCAGCAAAACTTGGACTTGCTAAGCGTAAATGTTGAAATACAAGGTACATACACTGAAATAGAGAAAGGTCATTAGGGACCAGCGTTGCCTCTGCCATGAACAAGTTGTATCTTAATGTTGTTCTATTGATGTGGGAGTCCAGATCAGTTCAACCTGCAACACAATTCTAAGCGAGTTGACTGCCCCAGTAATGGATCGAACATACCTCTTGTCCAAATGGTAAGCACTGAGAATACCATAAGGATATCAGTGGTTCTTTTATACTTAATCTTGCTCACCCCAATCATATATTACCCCGACAGAGGCAGCAACTGCGAAATTAGAGTCAAGGTGAATCGAATCATCACCGTCATCATGCGGCTGACTCTCCACGAAGCTACAAAACAGCTGCCAATAAGACTCGCATTGATAAGTGGCCACCAAGTAGGATTATTTGAAACTAAGACCATACCATTAGAAGATAGGAGCGAGCGAGCGGAGGAACTTGGTGGACGGATAACAATCGCATTCGTGCTTGATATACGACAATCCAGTGTTTAAATCACCAAAGTGAGATTTGAGGAATGATATCTGATTGATCGAAGTGTTTCAGCCCAAATTCCAGTGCAAAGACAATGTGCATCCAGGGATTCCAATGGGATCAAGATAAAAGTTGTTGGTAAGATCGCAACAGTGACTCGCGAAGAATGTTTGAATGCCGCATATGATTTGGGCGCGGTGCCCGTGCGATCTTCGAAACATTCTGGCTACAGTGTCCAGTGTGCAATGCAACGTTCAGCCCCGACCCATTAATAAAACCATGTGGTTCGTTGACCCAATACAGGTTTGAACGGCACCGTGCACGTCGAGCTCATGACAGACGCTGACTATAATTATTAACACAAAGGAGCTGGAGTGGAGTACATGCCTGAGCCAAAGTGGAGCAGAAGAGGGGTTCGGGTGGAACGCGCATGGCATGGCGTCGACGTGAATTGGTTCCGCGGGATCAAATGCTCCGAGTCCGTTCTTACAATATGTAGATAGATATCTGCTGGCCGTGTTGTACTAGTAACTTGCAAATAATTGTGGCCTCGATTTGATTTGCCTCTGCGGCATCACTACAGTAGTATGATACTAGTATTAGTATAGCCCAGACAAAGATCTGGCGCTGCTGCTCCTTGTTATCACTATTTCATCAGGCCAGGGTCCCATGCTACTCGAGTCTCGGACATGTGCAGCAGTCTGCAAGTATGGTAATGCATTGAGAATGTGACACAAATTTGCATGTATGCCTAGGTATGCTTGTAATACTAGAATAAACACCGTGCGGACTTTCAAATAAGTCGCGGCAAATCGGCAAATCAAACCGTAACCTATCGTCCACCATAGGCTTGACCCAGACCCATCTCTAGGCTCGGAAATATCCCTTTCCAAACAAGTTCGCACTTACTCCATTCAAGGTACCAAATCCTCCATTGAATCCATCACTTTCATTTTTTTCATATCCAATAATCGTGCTACAGGAATTCCGGCATCGTGCGATCTGCATGTGGAAGATGAGGTGGTGCCAGTCGGCGTAACCGCAATGCACACCTGACCAGTACGCAGATATCATCTGGTCTGTCTAGAAGGTATCGCGCGCGCCTTACACGCTTTTCTAGGAAAACAAGATCCACCACAATACACACTTGCATATCCCCCAGGCGGCGAGAAAGATCTCATCACCGTTGTCCTGCATGATTTGGGAATCATGCATGGACATGACTACTAGGTATCCCCCTAAAAGACAAAGTCTGTTAGCTTAGTCCTCAGACTAGTCAACCCATACCTTGGTATCAAACCTTGGTCCAATAGTTTCAGTTTTCCCTCAGCGATTCATGAATCCACCATGTTTTGAAGAAAAGTCATATGTGAGATGGGAATCACATAATGACCTAGTTGATATGAGAAGCAAAATGAAGGTTAATGTATTGCCTTTCATTTGGCTTATTCACTTTGGCTAGAGAAACCCATAGAGAAAAGTTCAAAGCCTAACAAAAACCTATCTAAAAAGCCCGCGTATTGTGTACTATTATTTGTTCCATTATTTCTGAGTTGTTTTCTCTAGTGTTTCTTTACTTTGCTTTTCTATTAGGATGCTCTGACTAATCAGATGCTTCATAAAATTGTACCTACAGGGTATGATGTCATAATGATGTCATAGGACTTCACCTACACTCCTGCAGGTATTTTGGTTGAAAGATATGATATCATAGTGATGTCATTATGATGTCATGTTCCATGGAATTTGCTAGAACATTCCAATGACTCATAATGACTCATAGTGACTCATAGTGACTCAGAATGATGTCATTATCCCACCATGAATATTCTGGAATGTTCTTTTGCACCTGCTAGAACATTCTGCTCCAGTTTTTGGAATATTCTTCTCACATTCTGAAGTCATTACATCACCTTTTTACTTACATAATATTCCCACACAAAATGTATATAAGGAGAGCCCATTCTCCCCCAAAAAATAGATCTCCCACTTGTTGCATTCAAGAACTCCCACTTGAGCAAATTGAACTCTCACCTAAGAAGCTTCAGTCTGAACAAATTGCTGCTTACAAAGCCCATTTCCTTTGTAAGAACTGTCCAGGCAAGTGCAGGGAAAGTGTTTCCCTTGAGATTACGTAAGTTTCTCGCGATAGAAACCCAGTTTTGTGAGACCAGTGTTCTCACCACGTAGTGTTTACTGACCAACACGAGCTTTGGTCACCGTTGTTATTTGTGAGACCAGCGTTCTCACCAGGTATTTGTATACTGACCAACACGAGCTTTGGTCATTGTTGTTATTTGTCATTGTTTTTTTTTATTTGTCATTGTTGTTATTTGTGAGACCAGCGTTCTCACCAGGTATTTGTATATTGACCAACACGAGCTTTGGTCCACGTAGTCACATTTGAGACCAGCTTCTCAACAGTTAACCGTATATTCAGGAAACCAGTTCAAGTGTCTAGACGGTATATCCTAGACAATCCCATAGTTTCAATCAGAGATAATAAAGCTCCGGCTAAGTTAATCTGACTGATTGGTTTAGCGAGCCTCCCAAGAACTCACACGTTATCTACCACGAAAGAAGAAAAGTCGTAGACCGTGTTAATCGAGGACTGGCAAGAAGTCTTATCCAGTGTAATTGTGGTGTCATTACATTTTTTACACGTATTTATATAAGACCCTCGGTTATTAAGACACCGTTACCGTCTCCCAAGAGGTACGGTTACCCCTCACATTCATCGCCATCGGATCGCACGACCTCGATCTCGACACCCCCACCCCTCCATTCCGATATGTAGCCCGTACACCCACCAACATCACTTTCGCGCCTCTCAGTCAGGAAACAGTGCACACCGCTTGCAGAGCTTATGCAGATCTACGAATCGGACAAACACCTCTCCTGGTACTTACCCATCATCCAATATTCAGTTGTCTATCCGATCGTTTATGATGCAGAGGATCACGTGTTAAGCTTGCCAACCCATCATCAACTCGGAGCATAGTAAGATCATGCTGGAGACTAAGAATGTGTTCATTGATACGACTGCTACAGATGATACGAAGCTGCAGATCATGATTAATATGGTGGCGAGTATGTTTTTGGAGTACTGTGCTGAGCCTTTCACGTGCGTCATTTTGTTTTGGGCTTGTGGTTTGATTTGGGAGCTGAGGATCTGTTCCTAGGATTGAGCCTTGCAAGATTGTCTTTCCTGACGGTTCGACGCTCATATCTCCTAATGTCACTCCCTGCACCGTGACTGCACGCGTGTCGTACATCAATTCCTCCACCTCTCTTTCCCTAACACCCTCCACAATCCAGTTCCTCCCAACACGCATAAGCCTCTCACCCACCCTCTCACTCAACGACTCCAACGCTCTAATTGTCTCACTTCAGTGCACGCGTCCCAACATCTTCCACGAGGTCAACATAATGGAAGACGCAGCAGTCGCTTACGGGTTCAACAACCTCCCAGATATCTTCCTCCAGGCCAGCACAGTCGCACAGCCGTTATCAATCAGCAGACTCATGGACATTATCCAGAAAGGAATGGGCGATGGCAGCATGAGTTGACGTGTTGCCTTTCATTCTCGCACGTCCCTTCCCCCCCTCAGCGCATATACACGCCTGACACCAAACCCGACCTAACAGTGCTCACACGAAGAAAACTTTTCCTTCATGAACCGCTCGCACGCTCTTACAGGGCGCGAGCCAGTAGTCTTTAATTATAACAATGTCACTAATAATACAGAACGCTGTAGTATACTACATGTGCCTCAAGCAGACAATAAATATGAATCAAAAAGGTGATTGGATCGCCTCTTCGACATAGGGGTGTGATTCAATGCCTACACATATCTATCCCGGATTCACGGGATGTGCTATTTCATTGTCATTGTCAGCGATATATGTAGGGTGCCTTCACAGTCAGTTTGAGCCCATCCCACGATACAGATCGAACTGAGGAAGATTAAGGAAGAAAGCTCACTTATGTCGAGAAATTTACGGTGGCGCTCAGCCAAAAGGCCATGCAAGGTCACGTGACTTCGATCGATTACCTTTTTTGGTCGGGATTCAGTAACCTTGCAGGCACATGACCAGGTTCCTGTGATGGCGTGAGTTCACATATTGCAGTAACATATCTCCGTATTATACGAGTGAACGGACGTGCATAATATCCCGTATGATACGGGCCAGCGGACCATGGGCCGAAGGTAGATATATCCTCGACTGTGACGGATGGGCCGGGAGTGTTATTATTCCCGATGGAGACGGGTTGGCCCAGGTGGGGAATATGTAAAGTAGATGGGTGGGCCGATGGACATGAATTTTCAATAGACAGATCGGCTGAGGTAGTTGGATATTATGTAGATGGGTGTACCAAGGTAGATATGTATCAAATAGCCGGGTATATCAAGGGTGCTTGTTATCACATAGACAGGTGGGCCCAGATATATATCATATTAGACGGGTGGGCCGACGAATTAATATTATTTTGTAGATGGGTGGGCCGACGTATTGGTATTATTTTGTAGACAAGTGGGCCGAGGGAGCGGTGAAAGATTTATTATATACGGGTGGGCCAATGGTAGACATATATTGCATAGACGGGTAGGCCGACGTAGGGGTATATAATATAAACGGTGGGCCCAGGAGAATGATAATTGTAGACATGATGGAGCTCAGCTAGTTGTATATCATGGAGGTAATAATTCAAAGTCATCTAATGATGTAGTATGGCATGGAGCCTTGCAAAGGGGTGAAGTGGAAACTCGAGTGAAGTGTACCGAGTTCCGAGACCCGGGTCTCGACAAATGAATATGTGATGTCCAGCACACTTCCGATTGTCTGGTATTTCATTGAGCAATATATGATAATAGATCTTTGAAAGCCAACATCATCCAAGCCTACCAAATGCCAAATGCCAAGTTCCAACTACCGAAAATCAAGTGAAGTGTACCAATATCCGAGCCCTGACTATCAAATCCCGACAATCGACCATTGAGTCCCGACTACCGAGTCTTGAAACCCGAGTCCCAAAGCCCGAGATTTGAGTCCTGAAACCCAATGCCCGACCATTGAATCCCAACAATCGAGTATCAAGTCCCGACCAACGAGTCCCAAATATTGAGTCCTGACCATCGAGACCCAACACCCGACACCCAACACCCAACACCCAACACCCAACACCCAACACCTGACAACCAACAACCGACACCCGACACCCGAGATTCAAGACTCAAGTTCCGACTATGGAGTCCCGGATATCAAAAATCAAGTGAAGTGTACTGAGATCCAAGTCCAACCTGAAGGATTCCTTAGGCTGGACTTCCAAACCTTTGGATTTGTTCTTCCATCTCTATCCAAGCTTAAGGATTGATTCCTTAAGCTGGACCTTTGCCTTTCTGGCACTTCCTGTCTTTCCAAGACTTATGTCTACTTCCTGTTATCTCCGACTCCACCTAAGTGTAGCCTACCTCTGTTTGCTTCTACTCCAGACCTTGTCCATGGTAGCCTTTATTCTCCTGTCCTATAATCCTGTCCACTCCTGCTGACCTCCAGACCTTTGGATCTCCGGACCTTTGGATCTCCGGACATCTTACCCTTCGGATATCAAAACCTTTGGACATTGTAACCTTTGGACATCATGACCTTCAGACATCATAACCTTTGGACATCTGAACATTCAGATGGCGCAACCTTCAGACATCCTGTCCTCTGGACCACTCCTCCTATCTGATCCTGCTTTGGACTCTGTCCCTTGCAGTCTCTCCTCCATGTGCTTCCATCTAGGAAGCTTACCTTCAGAAGTCTTATCTTCGGACCCTATGCAGCAGGTGAAACTCCTCCAGAGTTTCCTGTACTTCTCTAGAAGTTTCTATACTCCTCCAGAAGGTTCCTGTGCTCATCCAGAAGTCCTCCAGCACTCCATCAGAGTAGCCGGTCTCCGGAAGTCCTTCGGACTTCATTGGATTTCATCTGGACTTCATTCTGAAATTAAGGGTATGTACTTGGGAAAGGTGCAAAATAAAATATACTGACTACCAAGTGCTGAGCACTAAGTGTCGAGTTCCAAGTTCCGAGTTCTGAGTTCCGAGTGCCAAGTGCCCCGATGCTTTCGGGTATTAACACCCAGATAGCCCTCGCTCTCAGGGGCCCGTCAGAATTTAGATCATCTCAAACGGATGTGATTTGAGTGAGATATGAGCAAAATACTATATACCGGGTGAATTTTGGCATCAGAAGTTTGATGCTTTCGGGCATTGACATGAAGATAGCCCTCAATCTCAGGGGTGTGGGAGAATTCAGATTGTCTGAAATGGATATAATTTGAGTGAGATATATGCAAAATACAATATATTGACTACTGAGTGCTGAGTACCAAGTGCCGAGTGCCAAGTGCAGAGTGCCCCAATGCTTTCAGGCATTAACACCCAGATAGCCCATGCTCTCAGGGGCCCATCAGAATTTAGATCATCTCAAACAGATGTGATTTAATGTGTCCCAAGTGCTGAATGCCGAGTCCCAAGTGCTGAGTGCCGAGTGCTGAGTTCTGAGTTCCGAGTTCCGAGTTCCGAGTTCCGAGTTCCGAGTTCCGAGTTCCGAGTTCCGAGTTCCGAGTTCCGAGTTCCGAGTTCCGAGTTCCGAGTGCCAAGTGCCCCAATGCTTTCGGGTATTAACACCCAGATAGCCCTCGCTCTCAGGGGCCCGTCAGAATTTAGATCATCTCAAACAAATGTGATTTGAGTGAGATATGAGCAAAATACTACATATCGGGTGAATTTCAGCATCAGAAGTTTGATGCTTTCGATGTTTTTGATGTCGGGTCTTGATGCTTTCGGGCAGTAACATGTAGATAGCCCTCAATCTCAGGGGTGTGGCAAATTTAGATTGTCTGAAACAGATATAATTTGAGTGAGATATATGCAAAATACCACACACTGACTACCGAGTGCTGAGTGCCAAGTGCCAAGTGCCGAGAACCAAGTTCTGAGTGCCGAGTGCCGAGTGCCGAGTGCTGAGTGCCGAGTGCCGAGTGCCCCGATGCTTTCGGGCATTAACACCCAGATAGCCCTCGCTCTCAGGGGCCTGTCAGAATTTAGATAGTTCTGAGTGCCAAGTGCCGAGTTCCAAGTGCCGAGTTCCGAGTGCCGAGTTCCGAGTGCCGAGTGCCCCGATGCTTTCGGGTATTGACACCCAGATAGCCCTCGCTCTCAGGGACCTGTCAGAATGTAGATCATCTCAAACGGATGAGATTTGAGTGAGATATGAACAAAATACTATATACCGGGTGAATTTTGGCATCAGAAGTTTGATGCTTTCGATGTTTTTGATGTCGGGTCTTGATGCTTTCGGGCATTAACATGTAGATAGCCCTTGATCTCAGGGGTGTGGCGGAATTCACATTGTCTCAAATGGATATAATTTGAGTGAGATATTTGCAAAATACTATGTATATACTGACTACCGAGTGCTGAGTGCCGAGTTCCGAGTGCCGAGTTCCGAGTGCCGAGTGCCCCGATGCTTTCGGGTATTAACACCCAGATAGCCCTCGCTCTCAGGGACCCGTCAGAATTTAGATCATCTCAAACGGATGTGATTTGAGTGAGATATGAATAAAATACTATATACCGGGTGAATTTCAGCATCAGAAGTTCGATGCTTTCGATGTTTTTGATGTCGGGTCTTGATGCTTTTGGGCATTAACATGTAGATAGCCCTTGATCTCAGGGGTGTGGCAGAATTCACATTGTCTCAAATGGATATAATTTGAGTGAGATATTTCCAAAATACTGTTAAGACCGTACTCAAGTAGTATCGGATCCGAAGGGCTTCGGCCTCAGCTCGTGCGCTGTGCCCCTTTCCCGAGTCTTGCCCCTTATTTCAGAGAGCTAAAGTATCGCGTCTAGTGAAACGGATAAGTATTGCAATGGATCCGTTAAGACTTCCGGATATCGAACGTATAGAGTAACGGCCAATCCGGATCGGATCCGGACTAGAAACTAACGGGTGAGGACTGTCCGAAGACAGAGGCGGATATGTAGACTATAGGAATCTATCCTAAGTCTCGGAGTAGACAAGAGTAGCGTACTCAAGTCCGGATGGATAACGGAGGGACTCAGAGTCCAGACGGAATGAGTGCAATCTAAGATGATATTCGAACTGATCTACTACAGCGCATATACAAAGGTTTATATACTACGGATAGCTAACGGAATGATCAATAAGCAAAGGTGCGAGGCTATGTACGAAAGTATAAGCAAAGTCTAAGTGGAGCGTATTGGTAAGTTGGATGGATCACGAATCATGAACCGGGAATGAAGTACAAGTAAAAGCGGATTCGTAAGTGTAGCGGATCAGTAAGCATAGCGGATCAGTAAGCAAAGCGGAAGTAAAGGATCACCGGTATACCGGTGTACAGGAATACCGAAAGGAGATGAACGATAGTTAGAGTTATATGAACAGGAAATGAAATAAGAATCAAAGCGGATCTGTGGACCGGACGACGGATATGTTCATCGGATCTGGATCGGATCTGAGATCCAGATCATCGGATCTGTAACCGGATATAT